AAAAAAAAAAAAGCAAAGGAAATTCTGAAAGTCACTGAAGGGCACGTTGAGAGCAGGAGGGTCTGCAGTTAAATCTCTGCCTGGTGGGGTTTCAATGCTGTGGCCATAACGGAGAACCTACACAGATAAATACAGGCTGCTTGGACCCCATCTCTGGTTAGCTGGCACCCCTTCTGGATCCGTGTCTCCCCATCGATATGTCTACCAGGTGAATAGCACCTTATTTGGAAATCGGGTTCTTACATGTGCAATTAGTTCATGATTTCAAGATATCATGCTGGATTGAGGTAGACCCTAAGTCCAATGACAGGTGTCCTTGTAAGAGACAGAAGAGGAGACACAGACACAGAGGAGAAGGCCACGTGGAGATGGACACAGAGACTGGAGTGATGTGGCCACAAGTCTAGGGATGCCTGGAGCCCCCAGCAGCTGGAAGAGGCAGGAAGGATCCTCCCCTAGGATGGACACAGAGACTGGAGTGATGGCCACAAGTCTAGGATGCCTGAGCTCCCAGTAGCTGAAGAGGCAGGAAGGATCCTCCTAGAGCTCAAGAAGGAACCAAACACAATTGCAATGGTTTAGATGGTGAGCTCCAAAATGATATGTCCATGTCCTAAGCCCCAGAACCTGGGAATGAGACCTCACTTGGAAAAAGGATCTTTGTAGATGTAACAAGGATCTGGAGATGAGACCATCCCATAGGTATCCCTTAAACATAATAACAGGTGTCCTTGTAAGAGACAGAAGAGGAGACACAGACACAGAGGAGAAGGCCACGTGGAGACAGAGGCAGAGACTGGAGTGATGCGGCCGCAAGTCCAGGGACCCCTGGAGCCCCCAGGATCTGGGAGAGGCAGGAAGGATCCTCCCCTAGAGGCTTCAGAGGGAGCGTGGCCCTGCCTATGCCTTGATTTCAGATTTCTGGCCTGCAGAGCTGTAATGCAATTGATTTTTGCTGTTTTAAGCCCCAGGGTTTTGAGTGACAGTTACCAGTAAACCCCACTCTAGGTCACTGAACCCTTCAGCTTTGCCTGTACCTGTTTAGCAAGTCGCAGCGTTCACTTCATCTTCTATAGATAATTACTGTAATTTCCTTTGCTATTTTTCTTTTTCTTTTCTTTTCTTTTTTTTTTTTTTGAGATGAAATCTTGCTCTGTCGCCCAGGCTGGAGTGCAGGGGCCGGATCTCGGCTCACTGCAAGCTCCGCCTCCCGGGTTCACGCCATTCTCCTGCCTCAGCCTCCCGAGTAGCTGGGACGACAGGCACCTGCCACCACGCCTGGCTAATTTTTTGTCTTTTTCAGTAGAGATGGGGTTTCACCGTGTTAGCCAGGATGGTCTCGATCATCCTGACCTCGTGATCTATCTGCTTCCCAAAGTGCTGGGATTATAGGCGTGAGCCACCGCACCCGGCCTTCCTTTGCTATTTTCCTTTATGGTTTAATATCTCACCCGCAACTGGGCCCGGTGGCTCACACCTGTAATCCCAGCACTTTGGGAGGCTGAGTCGGGTGGATCACCTGAGGTCAGGAGTTCAAGACCAGCCTGGTCAACACGGCGAAACCCCCATCTCTACTAAAAATGCAAAAATTAGCCAGGTGTGATGGCAGGTGCCTGTAATCCCAGCTACTCTGGAGGCTGATGGAGGAGAATCGCTTGAACCTGGGAGGCGGAGGTTGCAGTGAGCCGAGATCGTACCATTGCGCTCCAGCCTGGCTGACAGAGTGAGACTACATCTCAAAAAAAGAAAGAAAAAGGAAGGAAGGAAGGAAGGAAGGAAGGGAGAAAGAAAGAGGGAAGGAAGGAAGGAAAGAAGGAAAGAAAGAAAGAAAAAAGAAAGAAAAGAAAGAAAAAAGGAAAGAAAGAAAAAGAAAGAAAGAAAGAAAAGAAAGAAAAGAGGAAAGAAAGAAAGAAAGAAAGAAAGAAAGAAAGAAAGAAAGAAAGAAAGAAAGAAAGAAAGAAAGAAAGATGGAAGGAAGGAAGGAAGGAAGGAAGGAAGGAAGGAAGGAAGGAAGGAAGGAAGGAAAGAAGGAAGGAAAGGAAGGAAGGAAGGAAGGAAGGAAGGAAGGAAGCACAAGAACACTTTCACCTGCATGCAGTTTATGTTATATGCAGTACAGTTTGTAAAGTTGTGATTCCTTCTATTGCTTCAAAACGAAGAAAAGTTACTTCTCCAAAAATATGAAATATGAATCTGTGTGCTGCTATTTTTAATTTTTTTCCCCAAAACTCACAATATTGAAAATCAGACATCACATGGTTTAGGTGGTTTTTTTTTTCCTCCCGTTTATTTGACTATTCTGTAACTTCTCTGTTTTCCGTTTTCTCCATCATGTACTGGACACCCTCAGACGTCATTCCCCACTTAAGAAAATTAACTGTAGGATTCCGTGCTCTGTATCTACACATCACTGGCATACGATCTGGGTCTATGATTATTTTTGACATTTTATTTGAAAATCTTCAGAGTCACAAAAGGCTGGGGAAACAGTACCCGGAGTCTCCAGGCCACGCTGGGTTTATGTGGAGCAGGTGCGGTTGGGCTCTGGGGAGGGGGCCGGGGGGGGCGGGGTAAGAAAAATCCAAGCACAGCTCACGCGCGCCCCCTGCAGCCTGCGGCGCGCCAGGGACCCGCTGCCCTGGAGGTGGGCTCCATTGAGGGAGGGAAGGTGCAGCCGAGACCACCAGGGCGTCCCTGGCCTCGCAGCGCCCGCTCTGCTCCCATCCCTGAGCCCACAGTGGGTCCCCACGCCGCGCCCATCACCACGCGCGCGGATCCCCAAAGTCCACGCCCCTCCCACAAGGACCCCCACCTTCTTCCACACCCCTCCCACCCAGCCCGCGGGGACCCCCATCTCCACATCCCTCCCAGCGTTCTTGCGGGGACCCTCATCTCCAAACCCCTCCCACCATCCCCGCGGGGACCCCATCTCCATGCCCCTCCCACTGGTCATGGAGGGGCCCCCTTCTCGCCATTCCCACCAGTCCCGCGGGGACCCCCATATCCACATCCCTCCCACCACGCCCGTGGGGACCCCATCTCCACACCCCTCCCACCTGTCCTGGAGGGACCCCCTCATCTCCACGCCCCTCCCACCAGGCCCGCGGGGACCCTCATCTCCACACCCCTCCCACCAGGCCCGCAGACAGCCCCATCTCCACGCCCCTCCCACCAGGACCGCGAGGACCCTCATCTCCACGCCCCTCCCACCAGGCCCGCGGGGACCCCATCTCCACGCCCCTCCCACCAGGTCCGCGAGGACCCTCATATCCACGCCCCTCCCACCAGGCCTGCGGAGACCCCATCTCCACACCCCTCCCACCGGTCCTGGAGGGCCCCCCCCATCTCCATACCCCTCCCACCAGGCCCGTGGACGGCCCCATATCCACACCCCTCCCACCAGGCCCGTGGACACCCTCATCTCCACGCCCCTCCCAGCAGACCCGTGGACACTCCCATCTCCACGCCGCCACTTCCACCGGACCTGTAGGGGCCCCCTTCTCCACGCACCTCCCACGAGGCTCGCGGGGAACCCCCCATCTCAACGCCCCTCCCACCAGTCCTGGAGGGACCCCCCCCGCCATCTCCACGCCCGTCCCGCCGGGCCCGCGGGGAACCGCCCCCCTCCGATCTCTACGTTCCCCAAGACGGCGCCCACAAGACCCCCACCTCTGAGCCTGGCCCCCCCACGTTCGGGTAAGAACACCCCACCCCCACCGCTGCTCACAACCGCAGCCGCGGGAACCCCAGCATTTCCACTCCCCACGCCGCGCCTGCAAGGAACCCCAGGAATCCACGCCGGCCTTTCCTCCCTGGGGGACCCCCAGCTGCTGGCGCGTCCTGCGGGATTGTCAGTCTTGGCGCTGCAGGCGGGGCGGGGAGGGGCGGGCGCCAGGGGCGGGGACAGGGCCCGGGAGGCGGAGCTGGGGGCGGTGCTTCACTGCGAGGCCGGGGCGGTGCCCGAGGGGAGTCGGGCGGGGGTGTGGCCTGGGCGTGGTCTCACAGGGAGACCAATGGAGGCGTGGAGTGGGCGTGGCCTGGAGGGGAGGGCAACGAAGGCGAGGCCGGGGCGTCGCATCGCGGGGAGGCCAATGAAGGCATGGACGGGGCGTGGCCTCACGCCTCCACGCACCCCCACGAGGCCGCGGGGAACCCCCCATCTCAACGCCCTCCCACCAGTCCCGGGAGGGACCCCCGCCATCTTCCACGCCTCGTCCCGCCGGGCCTGCGGGGAAACCGCCCCTCCGATCTCTACGTTCTCAAGACGGTGCCCACAAGACCCCCACCCCGGAGCCTGGCCCCCCACGTTCGGGTAACACCCCACCCCCACCGCCGCTCACAACCGGCAGCCGCGGGAACCCCAGCATTTTCCACTCCCCACGCCGCGCCTGCAAAGGAACCCCAGGAATCCACGCCGGCCTTCTCCCTGGGGACCCCCAGCTGCTGGCGCGTCCTGCGGGATTGTCAGTCTTGGCGCTGCAGGCGGGGCGGGAGGGGCGGGCGCCAGGCGGGACAGGCCCGGGAGGCGGAGCTGGGGCGGTGCTTCACTGTGAGGCTGGCGCAGCCTGAGGAGTCGGGAGGTGGTTTCGCGTGGTCTCTGCCAGGAGACCAATGGGGCGGAGCGGGCGTGGCCTGGGAGGGGAGGGCAACGAAGGCGAGGCCGGGGCGTCGCATCGCGGGGAGGCCAATGAAGGCATGGACGGGGCGTGGCTCTCACGGGGGAGGCCAATGGAGGCGTGGAGGGCAGGCCTGGCGGTGGCACGAAGGTACAGGGCGTGGCATCGCGGGAGGCCAATGAAGGCATGGACGTAGCACGGGGCGTGGCCTCACGGGGAGGCCAATGGAGGCGTGGAGTGGGCGAGGCCTGGCGAGGAAGGCAATGAAGACATGGACGGGGCGGGGCTTCGCCGAGGCGGGCGGGGCGTGGCCTCGCGGCGGCGGGCGGGGCGGAGCCTCGCGGCGGCGGGCGGGACGGGGCCTCGCGGCGGCGGGCGGGGCGGGGCGTCGCGGAGGCGGGACTCTGGCCGCCGTTTTTTGCAGCTGCGCTCACCGCGGGCTCTGGGCTCAGCTCTGCGGACTCCCGGCTCCCGGCGTGGACGCCATGGTGCTGTGCCCGGTGATCGGGAAGCTGCTGCACAAGCGCGTGGTGCTGGCCAGCGCCTCCCCACGCCGTCAGGAGATCCTCAGCAACGCGGTGCGGCCTGGGCCTGGGCGGGGCAGGGGGCGGGGGGCGGGGGGCGGAGGGGCTGAACTCAGGAGGGCCCGGAGACCCAGGAACCCGAGGGGTAGGGATGGGAGAGTGACCCGAGACCCTGAGGGATGGGGGAGGGCACAGTGACCCGGGACCCCCAGGGATGCGGTTGGGGAGAGTGACCCGGAAGCTCCAGGGATGGGGGAGGGGAGAGTAACCCGGGACCCCCGAGGCATGGGGGTGGGGAGTGACCTGGGACCCCTTAGGGATGGGGGAGGGGAGCGTAACCCGGGACCCCTAGAAATGGGGAGGGTAGAGTGACCGAGGACCCCTAGGGGTGGGGAGAGCAGTCTGACCCTGGACCCCCATGGATGGGGACGGGGAGAGTAACCTGGGGATGCTAGGGATGGGGAGGGCAGAGTGACCCGGGACCTCCAGGGATGGGGACGGGGAGAGTAAGCCGGGACCCCTAGGGATGGGGAGGGCAGAGTGACCCGGGACCCCTAGGAATGGGGAGAGCAGACTGACCCTGGAGCCCCACGGATGGGAATCGGGAGAGTAACCTGGGACCCCTAGGGATGGGGAGGGCAGAGTGACCCGGGACCCCCAGGGATGTGGGAGGGGAGAGTAACCCAGGCCCCTAGGAATGGGGAGGGTAGAGTGACCCGGGACCTCCAGGGATGGGGATGGGGAGAGTAAGCCGGGACCCCTAGGGATGGGGAGGGCTGAGTCACCCAGGAGCCCCTAGGGACGGGGTAGGGAAGAGTAACCCAGGACCCTAGGAATGGGGAGGGCAGAGTGACCCGGGACCCCCAGGGATGTGGGAGGGGAGAGTAACCTGGGACCCCTAGGGATGGGGGAGTGGGGGAGAGTAACCCAGGACCCCTAGGAATTTGGAGGGCAGAGTGACCCGGGACCCCCAGGGTTGGGGGTGAGGGGAGTAACCTGGGACCCCTAGGGATGGGGTTGGGGAGAGTGATCCTGGACCCCTAGGGATGGTGGTGGGGAGACTAACCCGGGACCCCCTAGGCACGGGGTTGGGGAGAGTGACCTAGGACCCCTAGGCATAGGGTTGGGGACAGTAACCCGGGACCCCTAGGAATGGGAAGGGCAGACTGACCCAGGACCCCTAAGGATGGTGGTGGGGAGACTAACCTGGGATCCCCTAGGCACGGGGTTGGGGAGAGTGACCTAGGAGCCCCTAGGTATGGGGTTCAGGAGAGTAACCCAGGACCCCTAGGGATGGGGGAAGGGAGAGTGACCCGGGACTCCCTAGGGATGGGGGAGGGGAGTGACCTGGGACCCTTGGGGATTGGGGAGGTGACTGATCCGGGACTTCTAGGGATGGAGTGAGCCCTGTGACTGAAGGTTGGGCTTCGTCGTTGGGGTGTGGGACGTGTTTCCTGGTGCCCCCGTGGGGATCTTATTGCGGGTGGTAGGGGGCCTAGGCAGTGGGTGTCTGCCTCTCTCTGGAGCCCGAATGACATGGAGGAGAGGCTCTAGTGATGAAGGGATAGTTACTGGTGATGGGGGTAGTTACTGGTGACAGGGGGATACTTATAGGTGATGGGGGTGGTTACTGGTGATGGCAGTATGTGTCCGAGTTGGCCGTGCGTGTCCAAGTTGGCTGTGCGTGTCCAAGATGATGGTGCGTGTCCAAGATGGCCATGCGTGTCCGAGTTGGTTGTGTGTGTCCAAGATAGCCATGTGTGTCCAAGTTGGCCGTGCGTGACCGAGTTGGCCGTGCATGTCCAAGATGGCAATGCTCCTGCTGTGTGAATCCAGACCCTCTAGTTATAAAAGGACGAGGGGTGGTGTGTTCTTTCTGGCCACCTCCTGCTGAGGGAGGTCATGGTTACAGGTCACCAAACACAGCACTGGAGGGAGGGGAACAGGTTGATGTATTCCTGGCAGCACTCTTTATTTGGGGGCCTTTGAGGCAGCACCTGTTGAAACATCTAGCTTGAAGCTCACAGGGCTTGAAGAGAGCAGAGCTTAGGTTTCAGGGCTTTTCACTTAGGAAAAATGGGGACAAAGAAAAAGGAAAAGGCCAGGCACGGTGGCTCAAGCCTGTCATCCCAGCACTTTGGGAGGCCGAGACGGGCGGATCACGAGGTCAGGAGATCGAGACCATCCTGGCTAACACGGTGAAACCCCGTCTCTACTAAAAAACATAAAAAACTAGCTGGGCGAGGTGGCGGCGCCTGTGGTCCCAGCTACTCGGGAGGCTGAGGCGGGCAGATCACAAGGTCAGGAGATCCAGACCCTCCTGGCTAACACGGTAAAACCCTGTCTCTACTAAAAAGACAAAAAAATTAGCCGGGCGTGGTGGCGGGTGCCTGTGGTCCCAGCTACTCGGGAGGCTGAGGCAGGAGAATGGCTTGAACCCGGGAGGCGAAGGTTGCAGTGAGCCGAGACCGCGCTATCGCACTCCAGTCTACACGACAGAGCGAGACTCCGTCTCAAAAAAATCTTGTGTCCAAGATGACGGTGTGTGTCCAACATGGGGGTGTGTATCCAAGATGGGGGTGTCTGTCCACCATGGCGGTGTCTGTCCACCATGGGGGTGTCTGTCCACGATGGCGGTGTCTGTCCAAGATGACGATATGTGTCCAGCATGGGGGTGTGTATCCAAGATGGGGGTGTCTGTCCACCATGGCGGTGTCTGTCCACCATGGGGGTGTCTGTCCACGATGGCGATGTGTGTCCACGATGACGATGCTTGTCTGTCAGACGGGGAGATGCGGAGTTCCCTGGGCCCTGGCAGGGTGTGGCAGCCAGGGGCACCCCCACTGGGGGCATTTACCACCATCATTCCTGACCCCACAGTCTGTGCGGGGATCACTACCTCGCAGACCAGGCCTCCCCAGGGACGCTGTTGTCTTCCTGGGTACCAGGGATTGACTCAGAGCCATCATTGCTTCCTTTCCCGCAGCCAACATTGCTGGCATTTTTCCTGAATTTCCTGTGGGCAGGATGGTTTTACCCCAACGTTCAGGGCTCCGGGAACCCTCTGCCACCATCGACTCGTGCGTTCAGGGCCTGAGTCAATCCTTCCCTGCTGGCCTCTCCGTTCCTGGCTTCTTCCTTTGCCAGTGTCTTCCGTCGAGAGCCAGTGAAGGCCCCCGGTCAGTCCCCAGCCCACTAACCACGCTTAGGGAAAGCCCTGGTGAGTTTCCGACTCCCCAGCCACGCTCAGGGAAGGTTCGGTGGATGGAGGAGAAGACCGGGGCGTGTAGCAAACACCTCCTGCCAATCGTGCACGTTCCGTTCCGTTTTCTTAGGCTCTTTCGTTGACCCTCCTGACCACTTTTTCTTCTGTTGCAGGGTCTGAGGTTTGAGGTGGTCCCCTCCAGGTTTAAAGAGAAGCTGGACAAAGCCTCCTTCGCCACTCCGTACGGGTACGCCATGGAGACCGCCAAGCAGAAGGCCCTGGAGGTGGCCACCCGGATGCACCAGGCAAGGGGTCCCTGTCCTTCTGTCCCCATGAAAATTCCTTTGCTCTGACGAGGGGATTTGCAGGTGTTAAATATCCATGATGCAAAGAAGTGTCATTCACAAGATGCAGTTGGTGCCACAGCTTAGCTATTACTATGTTACAATGTAATGCGCTGTCGCAAGTAACCCAATAGTATCGTTTATGATATGGAATTAATGTAGCTTATTTATTACTAGATGTTATAATGTTCTCTTGCAGTTGATATCGTTGTATCATTTATGATATAGAATTAATGTAGATTATTACTATGCGTTATATTCTCTTGCAATTGATATCATAGCATCATTTATGATACAGAATTAATGTAGATTATTACTATGTGTTATATTCTCTTGCAATTGATATCATAGCATCATTTATGATACAGAATTAATGTAGATTATTACTATGTGTTATATTCTCTTGCAATTGATATCATAGCATCATTTATGATCTAGAATTAATGTAGCTTATCTGTTACTATGTTATTCTCTTGCAATTGATATAGTATCATTTATGATATAGAATTAATGTAGCTTATCTATTATTATATGTTACAATATTCTCTTGCAATTGATATCATAGCATCATTTATGATATAGAATTGCATCATTTATGATATAGAATTAATGTAGATTATTACTATGTGTTATATTCTCTTGCAATTGATAAACATAGCATCATTTATGGTATAGGAATTAATGTAGATTATTACTATGTGTTATATCTTCTTGCAGTTGATACCATAGTATCATTTATGATACAGAATTAATGTAGCTTATCTGTTACTGTGTTATTCTCTTGCAATTGATATAGCATCATTTATGATATAGAATTAATGTAGATTATTACTATGTGTTATATTCTCTTGCAATTGATACCATAGCATCATTTATGGTATAGAATTAATGTAGATTATTACTATGTGTTATATTCTCTTGCAGTTGATACACAGCATCATTTATGGTATAGAATTAATGTAGATTATTACTTATGTGTTATATTCTCTTGGTAGTTGATACCATAGTATCATTTATGATACAGAACTAATGTAGCCTATCTGTTACTGTGTTATTCTCTTGCAAATTGATATAGTTAATCATTTATGATATAGAATTAATGTAGATATTACTATGTGTTATATTCTCTTGCAATTGATATCATAGCATCTATGATATGAATTAATGTAGATTATTACTATGTGTTATATTCTCTGCAATTGATATCATAATATCATTTATGATATAGAATTAATGTAGCTTATCTGTTACTATGTTATAATATTATCTTGCGATTGATATCATAGCATCATTTATGATATAGAATTAATATAGATTATTACTATGTGTTATATTCTCTTGCAGTTGATATCATAGAATCTTTTGTGGTATAGAATTAATATAGATTATTACTAGGTGTTATATTTTCTTGCAGTTGATACCGTAGTATCATTTATTATATATAGAATGAATGTAGCTTATCTGTTACTGTGTTATTCTTGCAATTGATAGCATAATTTATGATATAGAATTAATGTAGATTATTACTATGTGTTATATTCTCTTGCAGTTGATACCGTAGTATCATTTATGATATAGAATGAATGTAGCTTATCTATTACTATATGTTATAATATTGTCTTGCAGTTGATATCATAGCATCATTTATGATCTAGAATTAATATAGATTATTACTATGTGTTATATTCTCTTGCAGTTGATATCATAGAATCTTTTGTGGTATAGAATTAATATAGATTATTACTAGGTGTTATATTCTCTTGCAGTTGATACCTATAGTATCATTTATGATATAAATGAATGTATTTACTGTTACTGTGTTATTCTCTTGCAATTGATATAGCATAATTTATGATATAGAATTAATGTAGATTATTACTATGTGTTATATTCTCTTGCAGTTGATACCGTAGTATCATTTATGATATAGAATTAATGTAGCTTATCTATTACTATATGTTATAATAGTCTCTTGCAGTTGATATCATAGCATCATTTATGATCTAGAATTAATATAGATTATTACTATGTGTTATATTCTCTTGCAATTGATATGAATAGTATCATGTATGATATTCAGTTAATGTAGCTTATCTATTACTATGTATTCTAATCTCTGATGGCCGGGCGCGCGGTGGCTCACGCCTATAATCCCAGCACTTTGGGAGGCCAAGGCAGGCGGATCACCTGAGGTCAGGAGTTCGACACCAGCCTGGCCAACATGGTGAAATCCTATCTCTACTAAAAATACAAAAATTATCTGGGCGTGGTGGTGCACGCCTGTAGTCCCAGCTACTCAGCAGACTGAGGCAGGAGAATTGCACAAACCCAGGAGATGGAAGTTGCAGTGAGCCGAGATCATGCCACTGCACTCCCGCCTGGGCGACAGAGCGAGACTCTGTGTCCAAAAAATAAAAAATAATTTATCTTGCAATTAATATAATAGTGTCATTTATGATATACAATTAATGTAGTTTATTACTATGTGTTATAATATTATCTTGCAATTAATATAATAGTATCATTTACGGTATGCAATTACTGTACAGTATTACGATGTGTTGTAATATTCTACAATTAATATAATAGTATTATGTATTATAATAGTATGATATAGAATTATGTAGCTTATTACCATGCTACTATGTAATATCTGATTGCAAGTAATGTAACATCATTTCTAATATAGAATTATGTAGTTTATCTGTTCCTATATGCTACAATGCAATATACAATGATAATTAATATACTACTCTCATTTAAGATTTAAGATTCATGTAGCTTCTCTGTTACTATGTTATGAATGTAATATTGTAATTAATATAGTAATATCAGTTACAATATAGAATTAACATCTATTACTGTGTGTTGCGATACACACAGAATTAGTGTGTGTTACTGTGTGAGACTATGTAACACACTATGACAATTAATATAATTGGATCATCATGTAGAATTATGTCACTTATGTGTTACTATATGCTACTATGTAACACAGTATTTTTTTTTTTTTTTTTTGAGACGGAGTCTCGCTCTGTCACCCAGGCTGGAGTGCAGTGGCCGGATCTCAGCTCACTGCAAGCTCCGCCTCCCGGGCTCACGCCATTCTCCTGCCTCAGCCTCCCGAGTAGCTGGGACTACAGGCGCCCGCCACCTCGCCCGGCTAGTTTTTTGTATTTTTTAGTAGAGACGGGGTTTCATTGGGTTAGCCAGGATGGTCTCGATCTCCTGACCTCGTGATCCGCCCGTCTCGGCCTCCCAAAGTGCTGGGATAACACAGTATTATTTTAGTAGAGATGGAGTTTCACCATATTGGCCAGGCTGGTCTCCAACTCCTGACCTCAGGTGATCCACCTGCGTCAGCGTCCCAAAGTGTGGGGATTACAGGCCTGAGCCACCGCGCCCGGCCGTAATACACTATTATAATTAATACACTCCTGTCATTTAGGATAGAGAAGTCATGTAGCTTATCCATTACTATATGTTATATAATGTATGACTCCAATTAATATAATATCAGTCACAATGTATACAATTAACGCAGCCATTACTATATGTTGTAACTTGCTGTTACAGTGAATGTAATACTATCGTTTAGGATATAGAGTAAATGTAGCTCCCCTGTTGATGTGTGTTACCATACAATACGCCATGGCACTTAATAATAAGAAATACATTAGAGGGCCGGGCGCGGTGGCTCACACCTGTCATCCCAGCACTTCGGGAGGCCGAGGCGGGCGGATCACAAGGTCAGGAGATCAAGACCATCCTGGCTAACACGGTGAAACCCCGTGTCTACTAAAAACACACATACAAAAATTGGCTGGGTGTGGTGGCAGGTGCCTGTAGGTAGTGGCAGGTGCCTGTAGTCCCAGCTACTCGGGAGACTGAGGCAGGAGAATGGCGTGAACCCGGGAGGCGGAGCTTGTAGTGAGCTGAGATGGAGCCACTGCACTCCAGCCTGGGCGACAGAGCGAGACTCTGTCTCCAAAGGAAGGAAGGAGGGAAGGAGGGAAGGAAGGAAGGAAGGAAGGAAGGAAGGAAGGAAGGAAGGAAGGAAGGAAGGAAGGAAGGAAGGAAGGAAGGAAGGAAGGGAAGGAAGGAAGGAGGGAGGGAGGAAGGAGGGAAGGAAGGAAGGAAGGAGGGAAGGAAAGAAGGAAGGAAGACAGACATTGAAATGTGGTAAGAAGGAAGAAGGAAGGAACAAGAAAAGACATTGAAGGAAGGAAGGAAGGAAGGAAGGAAGGAAGAAAGACATTGAAGGAAGGAAGGAAGGAAGGAAGAAAGAAAGACATTAAAGGAAGGAAGGAAGAGAAGGAAGAAAGACATTAAAGAAAGGAAGGAAGGGAAGGAAGGAAGGAAGGAAGGAAGGAAGGAGGGAAGGAAGGAAGGAGGGAAGGAAAGAAGGAAGGAAGGAAGAAAGACATTAAAGGAAGGAAGGGAAGGAAGGAAGAAAGACATTAAAGGAAGGAAGGAAGGGAAGGAAGGAAGACATTAAAGGAAGGAAGGAAGGAAGGAGGGGAGGAAGGAAGAAAGACATTAAAGGAAGGAAGGAGGAAGGAAGAAAGAAAAAGACATTAAAGGAGGGAAGAAGGAAGGAAGGAAGAAAGACATTAAAGGAAGGAAGGGAAGGAAGGAAGAAAGACATTAAAGGAAGGAAGGAAGGAAGGAAGGAAGAAAGACATTAAAGGAAGGAAGGAGGGAAGGGAAAGAACAAAGATATTAAAGGAAGGAAGGAAGGGAGGGAAAGAAGGAAGAAAGACATTGGAAGGAAGGAAGGAAGGAGGGAGGGAGGGAGGGAGGGAAGGAAGGAGGGAAGGAAGGAAGGGAAGGAAAGAAGGAAGGAAGGAAGAAAGACATTAAAGGAAGGAAGGAAGAAGGAGGGGAGGAAGGAAGAAAGACATTAAAGGAAGGAAGGAGGGAAGGAAGGAAGAAAGACATTAAAAGGAAGGAAGGAAGAGAAGGAAGAAAGACATTAAAGGAGGGAAGGAAGGAAGAAAGACATTAAAGGAAGGAAGGAGGGGAGGAAGGAAGAAAGACATTAAAGGAAGGAAGGGAAGGAAGGAAGAAAGACATTAAAGGAAAGAAGGAGGGAAGGAAAGAAGAAAGACATTAAAGGGAAGGAAGGAAGGAGGGAAGGAAGGAAGAAAGACATTAAAGGGAGAAGAAGAGGAAGGAAGGAAGGAAGGAACAACGCTCCAGCCCCTGCAGGGGACCAGCTGGGACACCCACTGTCCTTGCTCATGACTTGAGCCGCCTCGGCCTGAACTTCCAGTGGCCTGGTCACATCTCTGAGGTGCTGTTTCACGCCTGTACGAACGGGGAGGAGACTCCTCTGTGAGACCCACGGCATGTCACCACTAAACTGAATCTTGCTTCTTTTTGCAGAAGGACCTGCTGATCCCAATGGTCATCGGGCCGACATCGTGTGGTGAGTGCGGCCCGGTCCTCCTTTCTAACGTCCGACTTGGTTTTCACGCATGGGTGACTCTGCCTGGCCCGACGTTCGGTTCCCTTGAAGACAGCAGTCTCTTGCCAGGGCCAGCAGCGCTCCTGCGATGAGCACCGTGGCCTGTGGAGGAAAGGGGACCCGCCCGGAACTTCCATCACAAACCGCCACTCAGATAAGGCCTAAAGGCACAGGAAGGGCCGGCGCTCGCCGCCGCCCCTGTCATCCCAGCACTTTGGGAGGCCGATACGGGCAGATCACAAGGTCAGGAGATCGAGACCATCCTGGCGAACACGGTGAAACCCCGTCTCTACTAAAAACACAAAAGTGATCACGCCTGTCATCCAGCACTTTAGGAGGCCGAGACGGGGCTGGATCATGAGGTCAGGACTGAGATCCATCCTGGCTAACACGGTGAAACCCGTTCTACTAAAAATACAAAAACTAGCTGGGTGGTGGTGGTGGGCGCCTGTAGTCCCAGCCGCCGGGAGGCTGAGGCAGGAGAATCGCTTTCAATCCGGGTGGTTGCGGTGGGAGCCGAGATCGCGCCACTGCTCTGCAGCCTGTGTGATGAGCAAGACTCCGCCAAAAACAAAAACAAAGGCACAGGAAGGTACACAGTTCTGGAGGCCACAAGCCACAAATCCAGGTGTCTGTAGGATTCGCTCTCTTCCAGAGGTACTGAGTGAGGCTGGTCTTGGTCTGGTCTCCAGCTCCTGGTGGCTCTGCTGGCAGCTCCTTGTATCCTTGGCTCATGGTCCGTGTTCCTATCTGTGCCTCCGTCTTCCGTGTGGCCTTCCTCCCCCTCTGGGTGTCAGTGTCCAGATTTTCCCTCTCTTTTTCTGGTTTGAGAGGGAATCTCACTGTGTCGCCCAGGCTGGAGTGCAGTGGTGCGATCTCGGCTCACCGCGACCTCCGCCTCCGGGTTCAAGCGATTCTCCTGCCTCCCGAGTAGCTGGGATGACAGGCACCCACCACCAGGCCCGGCTACTTTTTGTATTTTTAGTAGAGACGGGGTTTACCATGTTGGCCAGGCCATCTCGAATCCCTGACCTCCTGATCCGCCTGCCTCGGCTCTAAAAGTGTGCTGGGATGACAGGCGATCATTTTTATTTGCAGAGATGGGGCTTCTACCATGTTGGTCAGGCTGATCTCAGTCCCACGCCAGGTGATCTGCCCGCCTCGGCCTCCCAAAGTGTTGGGATGACAGGCGTGAGCCACCACGCCTGGGCCCATGTCTGACGGTTATAATCCACCCAGTCTATGGTATTCCCAGATAGCAGCCTGAGATGGACTAAGACATCTCATAAGAAGAGGAGATGAGGACACAGACACACACAGAGGGAGGAGCCTGTGAGGACACAGGGAGAAGACGGCGTCTCCAAGCCCAGGAGAGAGGCCTCAGGAGGAACCAGCCCTGCCCACACCTGATCTCAGACGTCCAGCCCAGGACTGTGGGAGGATAAATTTCTATAGTTTAAGCTGACCCGGCTGTAGGACTTTTGCTATAGTGACCTGAGCAGACTAACAAGACCTGCTCTTAAGTATGTACCCAAAAGGATTCAAAACAGGTCTTCAACCAAACCTACATAAAATGTTCACAGCAGCACCATTCACAACAGCTAACAGCCAGGAACAGCCCATGCCTTCAGTGGATAAATGGATAATTACAAGACGGTCCATCCACACACACAGGAATACTACAGCCATGAACAGGAACGAGGCTGGTCGGGCGGCTGGTGGCTCACGCCCCACACGAGCACTTTGGGAGGCCGAGACGTGGCGGATCACGAGTCAGGAGATCGAGACCATCCTGGGTAACACGGTGAAACCCCGTCTCTACTAAAAATACCAAAATTATCGGGCAGGTGGCGGGCGCCTGTAGTCCCAGCTACTCGGGAGGCTGAGGCAGGAGAATGGCGTGAACCCGGGAGGCGGAGCTTGCAGTGAGCCGAGATCGTGCCACTGCACTCCAGCCTGGGCGACAGAGCAAGACTCCTCTCAAAAAAAAAAAAATTAGCTGGGCGTGGTGGTGTGCACCTGTAATCCCAGCTACGTGGGAGGCTGAGGCAGGAGAATCACTTGAACTCCGGGAGGCGGGAGGTTGCAGTGAGCTGAGATTGCACCACTGCACTCCAGTCTGGGCAAAAGAGTGAGACTCCATCTCAGCTGTGAAAGGAAAGGAAGGGAAGGGGAAGGGGAGGGGAAGGGAAAAGGGGAAGGGGAGGGGAAGGGAAGGGGAAGGGAAGGAAGGGAACTAGAAGGGGAAGGAAGGGGAAAGGAAGGGGAAGGGAAAGGGAGGGGGGCTGGAGGAAGGAAGGAGGGGAGGGGAAGGGAAGGGAAGGGGAGGGAAGGAGGAGACAAGGGAAGGGGAAGGGAGAGGAGGGGAAGGAAGGGGAAGGAGGGGAGGGTTGGAAGGGAAGGAAAGGGGAAGGGGAAGGGAAGGGGAAGGGGAGAGAGGAAGGAAGGGGAGGGGAAGGGAAGGGAAGGGGAAGGGGAAGGAAGGAAGGGGAAGGGGAGGGAAGGGAAGGAAGGTGAAGGGAAGGGGAAGGAAGGAAGGGAAGGTGAAGGGGAAGGAGGGGAAGGGAAGGAAGGAAGGAAGGGGAACAGAAGTGGCAAGGGAGGGAAGGCAAGGAGGGGGAATGAAAGGGAAGGGAAGGGGAAGGGAGGGGAAAGGGAAGGAAAGGGAAAGGAAGGGAAGGGGAAGGAAGGGGAAGGAAGGGGAAGGAGGGAAAGGGAAGGGAAAGGGAAAGGAAGCTAAGGGAAGGGAAGGTGAAGGGAAGGGAGGGGAAGGAAGGGGGAAGGAAGGTGAAGGGGAGCAAGGAGGGGAAGGAAAAAGGAGGGGAAGGGAAGGGGAAGGAGGGGAAAGGAAGGGAAAGGAAAGGAAGGAAGGAAGGGAAGGGAAGGGAAGGAAGGGAAGGGGAAGGAGGGGAAAGGAAGGGAAAGGGAAAGGAAGGGGAAGGGGAAGGGGAAGGGGAAGGGGAAGGGAAGGAAAGGAAGGGAAGGAAGGAAAGGAAAGGGAGGGTTGGAAAGGGAAGGGGGAAGGAAAGGAAAGGAAAGGAACAAGGAACATGAATGAACCTTGAGGACATCACGCTCAGTGACGGAAAGCAGGCACACAGAGGACAGGTTGCAGGATTCCATTCTCATGCCGCGGTCCACAACGGGCAAACGCACAGTGAAAGAAAAGAGGATCTGGGTGGGGGGCACTGGGAGGGACAGCTTCTTCATGGCAGGGTCTCCTTCTGGGGGTGAAGAGAACATTCCTGAACCAGGCAGGTCGCGTAAGGCAACGTGGGTTGCCCAGGTAGTTGTTTGATACGGTGACTCTCGGGTCAGTATCCCCTTCATTTCCATAAAGCCAGTGACTTCTGCGAATGGGACCGTGGGTCTTGGCGCGGGCCCGACTCAGGCGGCGGAACCAACTCCCCCATGCCTCTTCCTCTCGCAGACGGTCGGGGCTGATTCTGAGAGCCGGTGGACAAGCAGGACGCTACAGGATGCTGTCCCGTGAGCACCCCTGCTGGCCTCGAGCTGTCTCAGGTTCTGGGCCACAGAGAAGGCCATATCCGGCCGGTGTCCCGGGCAGGGGTGGACCTGTCTCAGCTGTGCCGTCTGAGCTGTGCTGTCTGGCGCTTGTCTGTGTGGGAGCTGTGTGTGTGAGCTGTGTGTCTGAGCTGTGTGTGTGAGCTGTGTGTGTGAGCTGTGCTGTGTGTGTGTGCTGTGTGTGTGAGCTGTGTGTCTGAGCTGTGTGTCTGAGCTGTGTGTCTGAGCTGTGTGTGTGAGTCAGTGTGAGCTGTGTGTGAGCTGTGTGTGTGAGCTGTGTGTCTGAGCTGTGTCTGAGCTGTGTGTGAGCTGTGTGTGTGAGCTGTGCTGTGTCTGGAGCTGTGTGTGTGAGCTGTGCCGCAGAGCTGGGTGTGTGTGAGCTGTGCCGTGTGAGCTGTGTGTGTGAGTTATGCACTGAGGCAGGCACCAATCCCTGCATGCTCATCCTTGTCTGGGATTCTGCAGCACCGATCCCAGAGTGTCTCACGCCACTGCAGACTGTTGGGGCCATGAGAAGGCAGCAGTGCCCTGTCCTTCCCACTGGGCGTCCTGGACCTGAGCCCACAGCCTGGCATCTCATTCCCATCCCAGATCACGGAAGAGACGCGCTCCTCCCTGCTCCTCGGGCCTCACAGGCCCAGCTGAGGCTGCCTGCCTGGGGCTCTCCCGTCAGGCCACAGCTCGTGGGATTTGTGACCCCTTCCTTGGCCTCTCCGTAAAGGTTTCCCTGGAGACCACATGGCAGGACCATCGGGGAGCAGAGAGTGGGGACGGAGCCAGGACCAAGGGGACGGAGCCAGGACCAAGGACACCTCGCTGGCTCCCTGGTTTTGAGACTCGCTCTGTAGCTCCCACGTTTCACAGCACGGTCACCGGTTGTGTCTTGCAGGTTGAGTGGGAAAGAACACAGCGTGTTCACAGGCGTCGCCATCGTCCACTGCTCCAGCAACGGTAACCGCGGCCCGGGGATCGGGGTTCCTCCCAGAGGCCGAGAGAAGAACCCGGGAGATTCTTGGGACCCTGGGCTGGAGGGAGGGGGACGGTTACCCACCCCCACCCCCAGAGGGGTTTGTGCTCATGTCCTGCCCGGGAAAGTTGTCAGCCGATTTGCAAGTGTGCAGGAGAAAGGAAAACGTGTGCTTTGTCTCTCTTTCTTTTTTTTTTTTGAGACAGAGTCTCGCTCTGTTGCCCAGGCTGGAGTGCAGTGGCACGATCTCAGCTCACTGCAACCTCTGCCTCCCAGGTTCAAGCGATTCTTCTGCCTCAGTAGCTGGGATGACAGGCACCCATCACCACGGCCGGCTAATTTTTGTATTTTTAGTAGAGACGGGGTTTCACCATGTTGGCCAGGCTGGTCTCGAACTCCTGACCTCAGGGGATCCACCTGCCTCAGCCTCCCGAAGTGCTGGGATGACAGGCCTGAGCCACCGCACCCGGCCCCTTTCTCTCTCTTCTTGTCTGAGACGAACCCTTTTCCCCATGAACCATCCATATCTGAACTGTGCACTACACTGAAGTCCACACCTCCACAGCCATTCCACTGTCAGGGCACGGCGGTGACACGCTGGCGTCCAGGCTCACCCCCAGGGCTCTGTCCTTGCAGACCGTCAGCTGCACACCAGGGTCTCGGAATTCTACGAGGAAACGACGGTGAAGTTCTCGGAGCTGTCTGAGGAGCTGCTCTGGGAATACATCCACAGCGGGGAGCCCATGTGAGTCTCAGGGGCGGGGGGAGGACGGGGGACACGTGTGGAAGCCTGGCCACCCTCACACGTGGGGTCCCACTCGGCCTTTGGGAAAGAAGGAGACCCCCTGTTCCTGAGGCCGTGTGGCAGGGGGAGAGCCAGACTCCCAGGACAGACAGGGGCTGGGTGGGAGCCAAGGGCTGCGGTGGGGACTGGGGAGGCCCTGGGCAGTGGTAGAGAAGTTCATGCCGTGGGAGGAGGAGACCCCAGAGGTCTGTGCCCAGCATGCTGGCTGCAATTAACACGGAGAAACGGTGTGATCCAAAGTCACCCGAAGAGGTGATTCTAACTGTCGTCCCCACCAAAGAATGGTGAGCGTGGGAGGTCTGCCTGCCTCACTCGGCTTCACTTCATCATCCACCATCTGCGTTTATTTGGCTTATACTCATCTACATCACACATCGTGTCTACATAATGATACATAACGTAACGTGATAGAATTATATTTACAATTACATATAATTTATGTATTACACATATACTAATTATACATAATTATACATTATGCAAATAATTTATAGATTATATATTTGTAATCTATTGTGTTATATATTATAGACTGTAATATGCACATATAATATATTTTATCATAGCGTATAAATCATAATTTTGATTGATATTTAATGATTAATAATGCTTAATTTTAATTCATATTAAGTAATGATTAACGTCATAATTAATATTAATGTAATATAGTTATGCACCATTATAATTATAATAGATACTGTTACAATAGATTATATTATATATTATATAACACTGTTAAAATAGATTATATAATAGGGACTGTTATAGTTATATATAATCGATTATATATATTATAAAATATAATATATTTATATAATATAGAATTATATATATGCATCTGATACGATGGATTATATATGTATTAAATATGAATAGATGTAACTATACATATTAATACATATTAATTACATAATACTGTATATTAATTATATGTTATATGTGATTATATGCATATTATATATTAAAGATATGTAATTATACATATTAATTATATATAATGTATAATATAGAAATATATTATATATAATATATAATTGTATGTTATGTGTGATTATATGAATATTAATTATATATTAAATATATGTAATTATACATGTTAATTATATATAATATACAATATTATAATATATAAATATTATATATAATATACATGATATATTATGTACATAATATATAATATATATTATACATAATATTTATTATATATAATATGATTATATAATATATAATTATATATAATTATGTACATAATATATAGAATATAACTATATATAATTATATATAATATACATATAGTATATAATTATATAATATATAATATATAAATATATATAACATATTATGTACTATATAAATATAATTATATTAAAAATAATTATATTAAATATATTTTTATATTATAAAAGTATATAAAATGTTTATATATTTATGTCTATAAATACATTTGTATAAAATATGTTTATATATATATAAATAATTTTATCTATTTTTTTGAGACAGGGTCTCACCGTCACCTGGGCTGCAGTGCAGTGGTAAAGTCATAGCTCTCAGCAGCCTCAACCTCTCGAGTCAAAATGATCCTCTCACCTCAGCCCCCCAGTGGCTGGGTCTACAGACGGATACCACCACGCCTGGCTAATTTTTAACATTTTTTGTAGCTGTGGGGTCTCACTATGTTGCCCAGGCTGGTCTTGAACTCCTGAGCTCAAGGAATCCTCCCACCACAGCCCCGTGAGTAGCTAGGACCACAGGCACACACACCAACGCACAGGCCCGATTTTGTTTTTGGTTTTTGTCGAGATGGAGTCTGCGTAACATGTATGTGTCTTAACCTAGAGGATGCTACGTCAACTGAAATAAGCCAGGCAGAAAAACATACCACAGGATCTCACTTACATGGAATATAAAACAGTTGCACTTAGTCAAAGAATACAAGATTTAAGTCAGGGCCAAGTGCGGTGGCTCACGCCTGTCATCCCAGCACTTTGGGAGGCCGAGGCGGGTGGATCATCTGAGGTCAGGAGTTTGAGACCAGCCTGGCCAACATGGCGAAACCCCATCTCTTCAAAAAATACAAAAATTAGCCAGGCGTGGTGGCAGGTGCCTGTAATCCCAGCTACTGGGGAGGCTGAGGCAGGAGAATCGCTTGAACCCAGGAGGCGGAGGTTGCAGTGAGCCGAGATCACACCACTGCACTCCAGCCTGCGCGACAGAGCGAGACTCCGTCTTTAAAAAAAAAAAAAAAAAAAAATTAAGTGAGACGGGAGGAAGAATTTCAAGGCTCTTTCCAGCCTGGTGACTGTGGCTTTCAGTAACACTGTCGTACTGGAAAATTGCCAGCACACTAGATCTGAAGTCTTCTCCCCACTCACACAAAATAAGTACATGAGGTGCTGGATAGGATAATTGGCTTGATTTAATGATGTTACATGTATACGTATGTCAAAATATCCCATTAAACACATGAACTTTCTTTTTTTTTTTTTTTTTTTTTTTGAGAAAGGTTTTTTTTTTTAACCAGGCGGGAGTGCGATGGCGCGATCTTGGCTCACTGCAACCCCTGCCTTCCAGTTTCAAACGATTCTCCTGCCTCAGCCTCCCGAGTAGCTGGGACTACAGGCACCTGCCACCACGCCTGGCTAATTTTTGTATTTTTAGTAGAGACGGGGTTTCACCATGTTGGCCAGGCTGGTCTCGAACTCCTGACCTCAGGCGATCCACCCGCCTCGGACTCCCAAAGTGCTGGGATGACAGGCTTGAGCCACCGCGCCCGGCGCCCTGAAATTTTTAGACCCGGAAACTTTTCTCCCCGTCGTCACCTCTTAACCTTCCCCTGCCCCCCCAGGGACAAAGCTGGCGGCTACGGGATCCAGGCCCTGGGCGGGATGCTGGTTGAGTCTGTGCACGGGGACTTTCTGAACGTCGTGGGCTTCCCGCTGAACCACTTCTGCAAGCAGCTGGTGGAGCTCTACTACCCACCCCGCCCGGAGGACCTGCGGCAGCCCGTGCAGCACGACTCCATCCCAGCCGTGGACACCTTCGAAGACCTCGGTGATGTGGAGGGGGGCGGCTCGGAGCCTGCTCAGAGGGAGACGGGCAGCTGCGATGAGAAGGCCGAGGCGAGAGCGGCCGGACGGGCCACGGCCGAGGCTGAGTGCCACAGGACTCGGGCGACCCTGCCCCCGTTCCCCACACGCCTCCTGGAACTGCTGGACGGCTTTAAACTATCAAAGGTACCTGTGTCTGTCTCCTCAGGTTGCTTTCACCGATAACCCCACACCCTCGGCTTGAATCAACAGTCCTGGAGGCTGGCAGTCTGAGGTCAAGTTCTCTCAGGGCCACGCTTTGTCCGAAGGTTCTAGGGGAGGATCCTTCCTGCCTCTCCCAGCTCCTGGGGGCTCCAGGCATCCCTGGGCTTGTGGCCGCATCACTCCAGTCTCTGCCTCCGTCTCCACGTGGCCTCCTCCTCTGTGTCTGTGTCTCCTCTTCTGTCTCTTAGAAGGACACCTGTCACCGGATTTTGAGGCCTCCCTAATCCACTGACTCCAACTCATCTGAAGTCCCCTAGCTGACTTACATCTGCAAAGACCCTTTTTTTTTTTTTTTTTTTTTTTGAGACGGAGTCTGGCTCTGTCATCCGGGCTGGAGTGCAGTGGCGCCATCTCGGCTCACTGCAACCTCCGCCTCCCGGGTTCAAGCGATTCTCCTGCCTCAGCCTCCTGAAGGGTTTCACCAGGTTGGCCAGGCTGATCTCGAACTCCTGACGTCAGCCGATCCACCCGCCTCGGCCTCCTAAAGTGCTGGGATGACAGGCGTGAGCCACCGCGCCCAGCCTGAGGCCCCGTCTTTCAGCCGTTCTGCAGGTCTGGGCTCCCAGGGTCCCCTCACGGCGCAGAGCAGACCGAGAAGGGCATCCTCTGGGAAGCAGAGGTGGGGATGTCAGGTGCAGGAGGGGCGCAGGCTTTGGGGAGACAGGGAGACCGGGCTGACACCTCCTGTCATTCATCATCATCAGGAGAGAGAACATGCGGTGAATAAAGGTGGTTACGGCACATATTCCATCTGTGTCTCTAATTTACTGAGTGGTGATTATTAAATCACCACCGGATGGATTATAAACAACAGACATTGATTCTCCCACAGTCCTGGAGGCTGGAGATCTGAGATCCAGGGGTGGGCAGGGCTGGTTCCTCCTGAGGCCTCTCTCCTGGGCTTGGAGACGCCGTCTTCTCCCTGTGTCCTCACAGGCTCGTCCCTCTGTGTGTGTCTGTGTCCTCATCTCCTCCTCTTATGAGATGTCTCAGTCCATTTCAGGCTGTGATCACAGATATGGGATGTCTTAGTGCATCTCAGGCTGCTATCACAGAATACCATAGACTTAGTGGCTTAGAAACAACAGACATTGATTCTCCCACAGTCCTGGAGGCTGGAGATCTGAGATCCAGGTGTGGGCAGGGCTGGTTCCTCCTGAGGCCTCTCTCCTGGGTTTGGAGACGCCATCTTCTCCCTGTGTCCTCACAGGCTTGTCCCTCTGTGTGTGTCTGTGTCCTCATCTCTTCTTATAGGGACCCCAGTCCCATTGGATGAGGCTCCACCCAAATGACCTCATTTTACCTGAATCACTTCCTTCAAACCCTGCCTATGCATACCGTCACATCCTGACCTGAGGGACTGGGGGTATTAGGGGTGCAACATACGGGTTTTGAACTCAGCCTGTATCTGCAGCACATTGATTTTTTTCCCATGGGCTGGTTTTTCTGCCTGATATTCATTGATGTGCTTTTACCTTGTGTACGCCTTGTTTTACAGCTGGAGACTGGATCCTCCAGATCCCCACCATTCTCTGTAAAAGGCGGCTCAGTGGCCCCGTCGAATACTTTCGACAACATTGGTCTGCGTCTTGTGGGTCTGCGGGAGTCAAAAGTACTCGACAAGTGACTTCATGGGTCTGTCTGCGCTTGTTTTTTAACAGGCCCTGCTCACTGCTTGCAAGCTGAAGGTGTTTGATTGGTTAAAAGATGAAGCACCCCAGAAGGCTCCAGATATTGCCAGCAAAGTGGACGCCTCTGTGTGTGGAACAGAGAAGCTTCTGGACGTCTGTGCTGCCATGGGGCTCCTGGAGAAGACAGAGCAAGGTGACAGGACCCAGCGGGTTTTGCTCTGAGGATCTTTACAGGTAGAAGTCACTGAGGGAAGGTGACCTGGAGCCCGGGCAGAGCGAGGAAGGAGGGCCAGACCTTCTATCCCTCTGCCCTCAGGAACGCTGCTTTTCCCAGAAGGGGGAGAAGCAGAGGGTGAATGAGAGAGAGGGAACAGTGGTGGCCGCGGGCACGCCGGAGAAGCGTGACGTCCTTATGGGCTGTAGTCTCAAAGGGACTGTATCAGTCCATGTTCTCCTGAGAAACAGAACCCAGTAGGGTGCACACAGACATTAATTTACTTGCTGATTGATTTTTGTGGACAGATAAGATGGGTGGATGGGTAGACAGATACATAGATAGATGATAAATGCATAGATATCTTGATATAGATTGACGATACAGAGATGATAGATACATAGATGATGGGAAGAATTGATAGATATATAAATGGATGGATGGATGGATGGGAGGAAGGATGAATGGATGGATGGACAGATGGATCGATCAATGGACGGATGGATGGATGGGAAGGTGGATGGATTGGTGGATCAGTGGATGGGTGGATGGACAGATGGATGGATGGATAGATGGATGGACAGATAGATGGATGGATAAATGAAAGGATGGGTAGATGGATGGATGGATGATGGATGGATGCATAGATGGATGGACAGATAGGATGGATGATAAATGAAAAGGATGGGTAGATGGATGGATGGATCAATGAATTGGTGGATGGGTGCATAGATGGGTGGGTAAGTGGATGGATGGGTGGATGGATGAGTGGGTGAGTGGATGGGTGGGTGGATGGATAGATGGATGGATGTGTGGATGGAAGGTGATGTGTGGATGGATGGTGGATGTGATTGATGGGTACGGTGAATGGACATGTGTGGATGGATGAAGGAGGGCATGCAGGATGAGTGGGTGGACGGATGGATGGACAGATGGATGGATAGATGAATGGATGGATAGATGGATGCATGGATGAGATGGATGGATCAATGAATCGGTGGATGGGTGCATAGATGGGTGGGTAAGTGGATGGATGGGTGGATGGATGAGTGGGTGGGTGCATGGATGGATGGACAGATGGATGGATGGATGGATGGATGGATGGATGGATGGATGGATGGGTGGATGGATGGGTGGGTGGGTGGACGGATGGATGGACGGATGGATGGACGGATGGATGGATGGATGGATGGATGGATGGATGGATGGGTGGATGTGTGGGTGGATGGATGGATGGACGGATGGATGGACGGATGGACGGATGGGTGGATGGATGGACGGATGGATGGATGGATGGATGGATGGAGGATGGGCATAGATGGGTGGGTAAGTGGATGGATGGGTGGATGGATGAGTGGGTGGACGGATGGATGGACAGATGGATGGATGGATGGATGGAGGGGTGGATGGATGAGTGGGTGGGTGGACGGATGGATGGACGGATGGATGGACGGATGGACGGATGGGTGGATGGATGGACGGATGGATGGATGGATGGATGGATGGATGCATGTGTGGTGGATGGATGGACATGTGGATGGATGCTACGTGTGAATGGATGGATGAGTGGATGGCTGGGTGCATGGCTGGGTAGAGGATTGGGAGTGTGGGTGAACAGATGGATGGATAGATGGATGGACGGATGGATGGATGGATGTGTGGATGGATGGATGCATGTGTGGGTGGATGGATGAGTGGACATGTGGATGGATACATGTGTGAATGGATGGATGGGTGGATGGATGGGTGCATGGCTGGGTAGACGATTGGGAGTGTGGGTGAACAGATGGGTGGGTGGGTGGACGGACGGATGGGAGGGTGGATGAATAGATGTATCAGTGGATCGGTGGATGGCTAGCTGGGTGGGGAAATGGATGCAGAAAAACAGGACAGGCTTGCTTCTGGGGTTTTCAGTGAGCTGGATGAGGCCCACTCACAGTTTGGAGGTTCATCTCCTTTCCTTAATGTCAAACCGATGGTAGATACAAACGCCAGCTTCAGTGCCCCTCCACAGCCACATCTAGATGGGGGTTTGATTGCGTAACTGGGAACTTCAGTGTGGCCACAACCATGAAGGAAGGATCAGCCTCGTTGGGTAACAGTGACAGCAGTCGACAGCTGGGGCGTGGTGGCTATAGTCAGATGGATGATGTTCATTTTATTTTATTTTGTTTTTGAGACAGAGTCTGGCTCTGTCGCCCAGACTGGAGTGCGGTGGCGCGATCTCGGCTCACTGCAAGCTCCGCCTCCCGGGTTTACGCCATTCTCCTGCCTCAGCCTCCCGAGTAGCTGGGACTACAGGCGCCCGCCACCTCGCCCGGCTAGTTTTTTGTATTTTTTTTTTTAGTAGAGACAGGATTTCACCGTGTTAGCCAGGATGGTCTCGATCTCCTGACCTCGTGATCCGCCCGCCTCGGCCTCCCAAAGGGCTGGGATGACAGGCGTGAGCCACCGCGCCCGGCCGATGATGTTGATTGTAACATCTCAGCGATGCGTCCCCTACGGTCAGATTTCCTTGGGTTTTCTCGTTAGGAGGGCACAGGACTGTCCCCGTTTCTTCAGGTTACAGTAACACGGAGACAGCGAACCTTTACCTGGCCTCGGACAGTGAGTACTCTCTGCACGGCTTCATGTTGCAAAATAACGACGTCATCTGGAACCTCTTCACGTACCTGGAGTTTGCCATCCGAGAGGGGAGAAACCAGCACCACAGGGTGCTGGGGAAGAAGGTGGAAGATCTGTTCCAGGTAGCGTAACAGCCCCGCACACACCTTTTTCCACCTAGCGTGCATTTTGCTAAAGCACTTCAGCACCCAGCTCAGGAGGCACCTTGAGCCATCTGTCTCCGGTCTGACGGATCCCAAAGGCTCGGCTTGTTCCGCCTGGAGACCTTACTGCTGTGGCCGTTGCGTCCCTCAGCCCGGGAACAGGTGCAAGGTAGACCCTCCTCCACCGTTATCCAGCAGCCGATGCACGTAGAATTCCCTGCTAGAAACGGGTCTGAAGGCCACGCACAGGGGCTCGCACCTGTCATCCCAGCACTTTGGGAGGCCGAGTCGGGAGGATGATTTGAGCCCAGGAGTTTGAGACCAGCCTGGGCAACATAGTGAGACCCCATCTCTGCAAAAAAAAAAATTAACAATTAGGTCGGGCACGGTGGCATGAGCCTGTCATCCCAGCTACTTCGGGAGGCCGAGGTGGGTGGGAGGGTCCCTCGAACCTGGGAGGTCGAGGCTGCCGTGTGAGCCGTGCTGCCGCACTCCAGCCCGGGCGACAGAACAAGACTCTGTCTCAAAAGCAGAAAAACAGGAAGGAGCGGGACAGGCTGCATTAAATGAATGCGCTGGGTTTTGTTCTTGTTTTTTTTTTTTTTTTTTTTGCTTCAATGGAATCGACACTTGCTTATCTGAGACCGCCGTTCGCAAAGTGCTGCCTGCGTCCTCTCACCCCTCCTTCCCCTTTCCCCACCCAGAACCTCTCTGAGGTGGACGCGCGAGACGTTGTGGGGTCCTCTGCGGGTGGGGAGGGGGTCTCGGTCTGCAGGGCCGTACCAGACGGGCGTGGGGAGAGTCTGCTGTGGGCTCAGCCGGCCGCGGCCTCGTTCCTCCTTGGCAACCTTCGTCCCTACGGCACTGAGCGCCGAGTCAGAGAGCGTGTGTGCTGCAGAGATGAACCCCGGGGAGCCTGGGGCTTCGTTCAGATGTCGGGGAGAGACAGAGACAGACAGACAGAGGGAGACACAGAGAGAGAGAGAGACATGGAGACAGAGAGACAGAGGGAGACAGAGACAGACAGAGATGGAGGCAGACAGAGACAGGGAGATAGAGGGAGACAGAGACAGGGAGACTGAGAGAGACAGAAAGAGATAGAGGGAGACGGGAGACAGAGAGACAGTGAGGTAGGAAGACAGAGACAGGGAGACTGAGAGAGATAGAAGGACAGAGATAGAGGGAGACGGGAGACAGAGAGAGACAGTGAGGTAGGAAGACAGACAGGAGACTGGGAGATAGAAGGACAGAGATAGGGGGAGACGGGAGCAGAAGAGAACGAGTAGAGAGTAGGAAGACGAGACAAGGAGACAGAGAAGACAGGGAGACTGAGAGAGATAGAAGGACAGAGATAGAGGGAGACGGGAGACAGAGAGAGACAGTGAGGTAGGAAGACAGAGACAGGGAGACAGAGACACAGATAGAGGGAGACAAAGACAGAGAAACAGAGGGAGACAGACAGGGAGATGGGAGACCGAGAGAGATAGTGAGATAGGGAGACAGAGACAGGGCGACTTGAGAGAGATAGAGGGAGACAAAGACAGGGAGACAGAGAAAGAGACAGAGACATAGAGGGAGATGAGAGACAGAGAGAGACACTGAGGTAGGGACACAGGGACAGGAAGGCCTGGAGAGACAGAGATAAAGGCAGATAGACACAGAAACAGGAGACACAGATAGAGGGAGACAGAGACGGAGGGAGATAGAAAGACAGAAACAGAGACAGAAGGAGACAGACACAGAAAGAGAGAAAGAGGAAGACAGAGACACACCGAGGGAGGCAAAGAGAGAGAGAGACAGACAGAGACCAAGGGAGACAGAGTCGGAGAGGGAGAAAAGCCAGTGGTGGAGAGAGAAGCCGAGACGCGTGGCCGGGGGCCCCGAGCCGGCGTGAGCAGCTGGCCTGGGCATCGCAGAGGACACATCCCTAAGCCCCATCCTTGCTGCCCACGCAGGCGAGGGCCGGGGAGCCCCCGTGGGATTTAGGGAGCCAGGATGGAGCGGGGCCGTCCTGCTGGGAGTCGGGCTCAGAAGCAGCCTCAGCAGGGTTTGCTTGCCCTGGCGGGGACAGGGGATGGGCCTGGGCTCCTCTGGGACCCAGAGTAGGTGCCACCGGGGGGAACGTGGGGAGGCTCGGAGTGGAGCTTCTCCTGTGCACACCGGAATTCTCGGAGGAGCCCCCTCTGCCACACCGCACCGGCGTGGGGAAGGCTGAGCCGGGGCACCTGCGGAGACGCTGCGGCTTCTCTCCCGCTTTTCTCCGGTGAGACGTTTGGGGGCCACCCGGAGCCTCCAGGGTGAAAAGCTTGATTGTGAAAAGCCTATTGAGAAACTCAGACGCTTGCAGTTCAGGCTGTGGTGCGGACCAAGTGATCCCAAGGAGAGGACCCACCACTTTGGGGTCCTCCGTCCCCAGCCAGCCCAGCCCCCACAGAGACACGGGCGCCCAACACAGCTGTGGTGGGAAGCCTCCCCTGCAGCCCAGGCCTGGCTGAGCCCCCACACCCTGGAGCCCTGGACTTCTCCCCCTAGACCCCCGGGGAGAGGCTGGGCGAACCCTCGGCCCGTGCTCCCTGGTGCCCCTGAGCCCCCGCTGTGTTCCAGGACGCGTACTACCGGAGCCCGGAGACGCAACTGCGGTTCATGCAGGCCATGCACGGCGTGGCGAAGCTGACTGCGCGCCAGGTGGCCACGGCCTTCGATCTGTCCCGCTTCTCCTCCGCCTGCGACGTGGGAGGTGGGTAGCCCCCCCGGCCAGGGCTCTCCTTCCTTTCGTTGATTAAGCCGCGGGCGTCTTCCCTGCTCAGGACACCTGCAAACTGCGTTTTTCCACTGAGAAACCTGACGACGACCTGAACTGGGCCAGGCTGATGGGCCAGGCTGAGTCCCAGATGGAGGGTGGATATTCCACGCTCCAGGAGGCCCCGGGAGTGCCTTACCCCCGAGAGACTCTGGGGCCTCTGCTGGGCTTCGGAGCTGAGGCAGAGCACCTTGAGCCGCTGACTTCCTCAGCAAGTCTGATTATATCCCCACTCACCTCCACCTCAACAGCCTCGGACAGTGGATGAAGTGGTAGACACGTTCCCAAGGTGCTGGGGGATCAGGGCCCTGGGACGATTCTCACACCATCAGCTTACATTTCAACCCCGAATGCCTCTCTCCTTGTGGTCCAGGAGTGGTTGCTGAGCACCTGCCACAGCTCATATTCCACAGCAGGAAGGAGAAGGGGAGGAGTACAGCGACACCCCTGGGCTGAAGGATTTCCTCTCAGTAGGTCTGTGCCCCCTACACGTGGCCTGAGTGGCTGCTGTAGCACTGCCATTGTGTATACATCCCCACAGCAGGAAGGAGAAGGGAGGAGTGGCAGTATACACTCCTGGGCTGGGCGATTTCTGCAGGTCTGTGCCTCTACACGTGGCCCAGAGTGGCTGCTGTAGCACCGCACCATCGTGTGCTACATCCCCACAGCAGGAAGGAGAAGGGAGGAGCACAGTGTACAATTTCTGGGCTGGGCATGATTTCCTGCAGGTCGCCTCAAGAAGTGGTCCAGAGGGTTGCTGTAGCACCAGCCATTGTGTCTGTATCTCATGGCAGGAAGGAAAGGAAGGAGACAGCCCCCCACCTCTGAGCTGGAAGGATTTCCCCTGCAGGTCTGTGCCTCACACATGGCCCAGAGTGGCTGCTGTAGCACCGGCCAATGTATACATCCTCACGGCAGGAAGGAGAAGTGGGGAGGGAGGCAGCCGACACCCTGGGTTGGAAGGATTTCGTGGTGGTCTGTGCCCCCACATGTGGCCCAGAGGCCACGTAGCACTGGCTACTGTGGCTATTGCACATCCCCACGGCAGGAAGGAGAAGGGAGAAGTACAGCCCCTACCTCTGGGCTGGAAGGATTTCTGCAGGTCTGTGCTCCCACACGGGCCCAGAGTGGGCTGCCATAGCACCAGCCACTGTATACATATCCCTACAGCAGGAAGGAGAAAGGAGAAGTACAGCCCCCACCTCTGGGCCAAAGGATTTCCTGGCAGGTCTGTGCTCCCACACGTGGCTCAGAGGCTGCCAGTAGCACCAGCCACTGTATATACATCCTCACAGCAGGAAGGAGAAGGGAGAAGACAGCCTCTACCTCTGGGGCTGGAAGGATTTCTCCTGGCAGGTTCGTGCCACACGCCCAGAGTGGCTGCTGTAGCACCGACTCATCGTGGTGTGGCTACATCCTCATGGCAGGAAGTGAGAAGGGAGGAGTATGAGCTTACACCCCTGGGGCTGGAAGGATTGCAGGTCTGTGCCTCACACGTGGCCCAGAGTGGCTGCCTTGCACCGACTCACGTGGCATCCCCACAGCAGGAAGAAGGAGGAGTACAGCCTATACCCCTGGGCTAGAAGGATTTCCTGCAGGTTCGTGCTCCCACACGTGGCCCAGAGTGGCTACAAGGTTGCACCACTCATCGTGTATACATCCCCATGGCAGGAAGGAGAAGGAGAGTACAGCGACACCCCTGGGCTGGAAGGATTTCCTGCAGGTTCGTGCCCTCTACACTCGCCTCGCTTGCACAGTCTCGCCTGGGACTCTGCAGCGAACTCCCCACCGCCGCTTTCTCTTCCAGCATGGGTCCTGTGCCATGCCCTCGGTCATTGACTTCTGCTCCCGGTTGAGCTCTGAGAGTCGGCCAGGGTCTGCAGGCACCAGGACGCCGCAGAGCGTGCATTTGCTTCCCGCAGGGCTGCACGTGCGCTGGCTCGAGAGCTGGCCCCGAGCACTTCATGGGTCTCCAGGTGACCGTGGCTTGACCTCCCGACGCCGGGCCGAGCTGGCCGCCCGGGCTTCAGCCTGGCCGGGACCGCAGGCAGCTGGGATCCACTTGGCAGGTGAGCCTCTCGCTCGCCCTGCCAGCGCTTTCTCAGGCTCCGGGTATCCTTCTGTGACAGGAGGGCGTGGCTGTAAAGTGGTGCCTGCGGTTTCTTAAGTGGGAGCTCATGGTGGGTGTCTGTGTGCATACATGACTGTGTGCTGTGCTTGTGTGTGTGCGCTCTGTCTGCATGTGTGTGTGGTAGGCCTCTGGATGGCTCAAAGTGGAGAGAACGTGTGTGCGTGGAGTGCTCAGGCCCGCACGTGTGTGTACGCTTGGCGCAGGGTTGCAGATATTTGTGAGGGTGTATGTATGGGTTCGTGTGCGGTTCGTGTGTCTGCATCTGTCTGTGGGTGTCTGTGTGTATATGGGATTGCCACTGTGTGTCTGCGTCCCTGTGTGTGGTATGTCCCTGTGTGTGTGCGTGAGACCGTCTCTGTGTGTGTGTCTGCGTGTGTGTGTGCGCCTCTGTGGTGTGTAAGGTGGCTATGTCTGTGTGTGTGTGCGCCTGTGTGGATATAGGTGTATGTCTGTGTGTGCATCTGTGTGTGCCTCTCTGTGTCTGCATCTGTGTGCAGCTGCAGCTGGTGGCTTGCCCCGTGCATGTCTGTGTGTGTGTTCAAGGCCTGTGTGCATGGGTAAATATGGATATCTGTGTATATGTGACTGCAGTTTGTGTGTATCTCTCTGTTTCTGTGTCTGTGCATGGTTCCCTGTGTGGTATGTCCGTGTGTGCGTGAGAATGTGTGTCTGCGTCTGCGTGTGTGTGTGCACATCTCTGTGGTGTGCGGTTGTGCAAATGGGAGGGTGTGTGTGTGCGCCTGTCTGGATATAGGTGTGCATGTCTGTGTGTGCGTCTTTGCCCATCTGTGGCCTGTGTCTGTGTGCCTATCTGTAATGCCCACCTGTGTAAAAGGGTGCCTGTTGCTGTATCTGTGTCCGTGTGTCTGCAGCCCGCCTGTGCATGTGTCTGCGCCCCGGTGCGTGTGCTCTGTCTGCTGGGTGTGTATCTCTGTGTCCGTGTGTGTCTGTGCCATCTGGGCATGTGTCTGCGTCCGTGTGGCGTGTGTGTGTGCCTGTCGGGGTGTATCTCTGTGTGTCCCTGTGTCTGTGTGCCCATCTGTTGCATGTGTCTGCATCTGTGTGCGTGTGTGCCTGTCTGTTGGGTGTATCTCTGTGTGTGTCTGTGTGCCCATCTGTGCATGTGTTCAGCCCGTGTGCGTGTGTGTGCCTGTCTGTTGGTGTCTCTGTGGTGTCCTGTGTGTGTGTGCCCATCTGTGCATGTGTTCAAGCGCTTCAGTGTGTGGTCTGTCGCTGTGTCTGTGTGGCCTGCCCATCTGCATGTGTCTGCGTCTGGAGTGTGTCTATCTGGGCCTGCTGCATCTCTGTATGTCCGCAAGGTGTGTCTGTGTGTGTGCATGTCTTTCTGGTGTGTGCTTGCATGTGTGCTCTTGTGTCTGCATGTCTGTACGCTCTGCATTGATGGGTGTATGTGTACGTGCCAGTGTGTCTGCGTCCGTGGTATAAGCCAGCATGTCTGTGTGTGGGTTCACACAGACACGTAGAGCATCTCTCAAACAGGTGATGAGGCCGGGTGCGGTGGCTCTACGCCTGTCATCCCAGTACTTTGGGAGGCTGAGGCGGTGGATCACCTGAGGTCAGGAGTTCAAGACCAGCCTGGCCAACATGGTGAAACCCCCGTCTCTACTAAAAATACAAAATCAGCCAGGCGCGGTGGCACGTGCCTGTGGTCCCAGCTACTCGGGAGGCTGAGGCAGGAGAATCGCGAACCAGGAGGGAGGTGCGGAGTTGCGGTGGACAGATCACTCACTGCACTCCAGCCTGGGTGACAAGAGCCAACTCCACCTCAAACAAACAAAAGACAATGATAATAATAATGATAAATAAAAATAAACAGGTGGGGCTGCACGTGGCTCAAGCCTGTAATCCTGTACTTTGGGAGGCCTGAGATGGGTGGACTGGCAAGGCCAGGAGACGAGACTATCCTAGCTAAGATGGTAAAAACACCATCTCTAAGAAAAATACAAAAATCAGCTGGCACGGTGGCACATGCCTGTAATCCCAGCTACCCAGGAGGCTGAGACAGGATGAACCCGGGAGGCGGAGGTTGCAGTGAGCCAGATCGCGCCACTGCACTCCAGCCTGGGCAACAGAGCAAACTCCATCTCAAAAAAAAAAAAAAAAGGGCCGGGCGCAGTGGCTCACGCCTGTAATCCCAGCACTTTGGGAAACCGAGGCAGGTGGATCACGCAGGTCAGGAGGACGGAGGAGTCCATCCTGGCTAACACTGTGAAACCTCGTCTCTACTAAAAATACAAAAACTAGCCAGGCGTGGTGGCGGACACTCGTAATGGAGGTTGCAGTGAGCCAAGATCGCACCACGCACTCCAGCCTGGGCAACAGAGCGAGATCACCTCAAAAAAAAAAAAAAAAAAAAGGAGACACCTGACATGCCGTAACTCATCACTATCCCATACAGCGGCCAGGCCTGCAGGCGAGGTGCTGGGGACCTCCATGCCTCCCTGGAGCTTCTGGACACTTTGTTTTTTTTTTCTGAGACGGAGTTCAAGCCTGTGGCCCAGGCTGGCGGTGGCGCGATCTCAGCTCACTGCAAGCTCCGCCTCCCGGGTTCACCATTCTCCTGTTCAGCCCTATAGCTGACTACAGGTGCCTGGCCTCACTCCGCCGGCTAGTTTTTGTAATTTTGGTGGAGTCGGGTTTGCCCTGGCAAGTGGCCAGCTTGGTCTCAACTCCTGACCTCAGGTGGGATCTGCCTGCCTCGGCCTCCCAAAGTGCTGGGATTACACCCCGCCCGGGCCGAAATGTGCTCAAAGTTTAAAATCAAGAGTCTGAAAGAGCAATTTTCCTCCTCAGAGCTGGGGAAAGCAGCCCAGACTTCCACCACACACCCCCGCCCCTTCTTTCCTCATGCAATTCACAGCTTGCTTGCTTTCTTGCTTGCTTAGGTTGTGGTTCATTTGCTGACACAGCAGGGTTAGTGCCATCAGTCAATGCAAACGCTTCTGTGACTATCCGGTGAGGTGCACACCAGCACATCGTAGGTACGGGTTTCTGGTGACTGAAATAAATTCACTGGGGCTCTACACCAAAACTACAGGAATTTATCCTCTCTCTAGTCCTGGCGGTGTTCGGAGATCGAAAGATTCAGGGCTGGGAGGATCCTTCTGCCTCTCCCACTCGGGGCTCCTAAGGCCTGGGCTTCTTGTGGGCCGATCATTTATCTCTGTGTCCTGGGCTCCCCCACGTGGCCTTCTCCTGTGTCTGTGTTCCCCTCTGCCCTTAGAAGGACACCTGGCTGGGCTGTACTAGAGCTCAGGGCCTATCCAGGGTATCTCATCTCAAGATACTCAACTGAATGACACTTGCAGAGACTCTCTTTCTAAATGAGATTCTGTTCATGAAGTCTACGGGTTAGATGACAAATCTTTGACGTCACCATCCCAACCCATTGCAATCTTGCAAGCTGAGGGCCCTTCCTGCCTCTCCCAGCTCCTGGACAGCTCCAGGCGTCCCTGGGCTTAGGTCGTGATCACTCCAGTCTCTGCCTGCCCCACATGGCCTTCTTCTGTGTCTGGGTCTCCTTCTGTCACTTTAGAATACCTGTCATTGCATTTAGGGACACTCCTATTCCAGGATGATTTCATCACAGGTGTCTCTTTTTTTTGAGGTGGAGTCTCGCCTGTTGCCTCAGGCTGGAGTGCAGGTGCATCCCCGCCTACTGCAACCCCATTATAACCAACACTAATAGTTTTTTTTGTATTTTTAGTAGAGACATGGCAAAACCTCATCACTACTAAACTGTAAAATTAGCTGGGTGTGAATGGTCTCAGGTTCCTGGTCTACAATCCACCGCCTGGGCCTCCCCAAACTGCCACCACGCTCCGCCCAGACTCTCCCGCATGCAGAAAACCTAACATACCAGCTTGTATGGTTGGGCTCCAGACACCTGACATGCCGTAACTCATCACCATCCCACACAACGGCCAGGCTCTGCAGGCACAGGTGCTGGGGACTCTGCCATGCCCTCCCCTGAGCTTTCTGGACACTTTGGGATTAAGTAACCCATTGCAACTGTGTTTGGTTCCTTCTGAGGTTTAGGGAGGCTCCTTCCTGGGTGCCTGAATTGACTGCCAGGAAGGTCCCTGGATGCTGCCCGGGCCTCAGCAGTGCGGCCTCAACCCTCCCCTGGGCTGGGATTTGAGACACCATTTGCGCTGGACTTGCCTGCTCGCCCAGGTGGTGCCTCTGAACTCTTTTTCCTCCCTCTTTTTTTTTTTTTTTTTTGTCAGCCAGGCTGGAGTACTGGCGTGATCTCAGCTCACTGCAGCCTCCGCCTCCCGGGTTCAAGCGATTCTCCTGCCTCAGCCTCCTGGAGTAGCTGGGAATTACAGGCACCACTACTCCCGTCCAGCTAATTTGTATTTTTAGTAGAGCTACAGCTTCGCCATGCTGCTCAGGCTAGTCTCGAACTCCTGAGCTCAATCTGCCTACCTCTCAGGCTCCAAACTGCTGAGATTACAGGTGTGAGCCGCCGTGCCTCAGCCTTTCTGCCAGAGCTCCACCCACGCCCGTGGCATCGCGTAACTAGCCTCTGGCTCAAGTCCTCATGGGATATACTCATTCCTGCCCGCACTCTCTCTTCTCTATCCCTGATTTAGGATGTGGGTGGGCCCGAGGATCTGTCCGGGAGGGACTGGCTCAGTACCTGACGACGTGCTTGGTCTTTAAAACCAGGTGATTTTTTTCAGGGACCTCTCAGCGCTGAGCTGTATGTCCTGTGCCGGATCCTGCATAACTGGTCAGACGATAAAGTCCACAAGTTACTTCAGCAAGGCCGCCGAGAGCTGCTAGCCAGGTGAGAGCCCGCTGCCACGCCACTTTTGTTAAGACGTGAGTTTCGGGTTCAAGTTTCAAGGAGGCCGATGTGGCTCACACCTGTCATCCCAGCACTTTGGGAGGCCGAGGCAGGCGGATCTACCTGAGGTCAGGAGTTCAAGACCCGCCTGGCCAACATGGTGAAACCCCGTCTCTACTAAAAATACAAAAATTAGGCCGGGCGGTGGCCTGGGCGCCTGTCATCCCAGCACTTTGGGAGGCCGAGACGGGCGGATCACAAGATCAGAGATCGACCATCCTGGCTACCACGATGAAACCCCGTCTCTACTAAAAAAACACAAAACTAGCCGGGCGAGGTGGCGGCGCCTGTAGTCCCAGCTGCTCAAGCAAGGCTGAGGCAGGAGAATGGCGAAACCCGGAGGCGGAGCTTGCAGTGAGCTGAGATCCGGCCACTGCACTCCAGCCTGGGCAACAGAGCGAGACTCCATCTCAAAAAAAAAAAAAAAATACAAAAATTTAGCTGGGTGTGGTGGCAGGCTTCGGTCACCTCAGCACTTTGGGAGGCTGAGGCAGGTGGATCACCTGAGGTCAGGAGTTCAAGACCCGCCTGGCCAATATGCTGAAACTCCTGTCTCTACTAAAAATACAAAACTTAGCCGCACAGGTGAGTGTGCCTGTAATCCCGGTCCTTGGGAGGCTGAGGCAGGAGAACCGCTTGAAACCCAGGAGGGAGGCTGGGCAGTGAGCCAAGATTGCGCCACTACACTCTAGCCTGGGTGACAGAGTGAGATTCTGTACCAAAAAAAGAACAGCAAAAAGAACTGGCTTATGTGATTTTTGGAGGCTGGCAAGTTCGTTAAGCCGTGAGAGGCCCGCTACATTGTGGGAGGATAAACTGTATTTAAAGTTGGCCAATGGGTCAGGTGCAGTGACTACACCTATCATGCCCGCCTTAGGGAGGCAAGGTGGGCAGATCACCTGAGGTCGGGGGTTTGAGGCCAGCCTGGCCAACAGGTGAAACCCCGTCTCTACTAAAAATACAAAAATTAGCCGGGCATGATAGCGGGCACCTGTCATCCCGGTTGCTCGAGGCTGAAGCAGGAGAATCGCTGGAACCTGAGACGGAGGTTGGCGTGAGCCGAGACTGTGCCACTGCACGCCAGCCTGGGCAACAGAGCGAGACTCCATCTCAGGTCCAAAGAGAAACATATTTATTATTGCGGAAGTGAAGTGGCTCATCCTAAAGGTCTTCATTCTTGTTGTCTTCACACTGAGGAGGGCTGGGTAGAGGAGGAGGGCTTAAGTGGGCTGTTTGCTGTCTCCGGGTGGCTGAGGCAGAGGGAAATCCATGGAGTGAGGGCAGTTTAGAGCCGTGCTGCTCAAGGCTCAGCTGGATCGAACCTGGGTGTTTATACACAGGCACAGGTGCACACACACACACACACACACACACACACGCACCCTCCTCGGCTCAAAGCCTTCATATCAGGTTTCTCCCGTCCCCCAGCTGCTGGAACTCCCAGGCTCCAGGGTTCAGGCCAGGCTGTGTATCGGATTTCCGCAGGAAGGATATGGCCTCTGAGGGAATCTGGTGGGCGCCTGTGGCTCCTCAGAGTTCAAGCCATGCAGTGAGAATTCCTAGAATATTTTGCAGAGAACACTTGAATTCACTCAATAGAGCCAGCCAGGACTCTATAGTTCAGCTGGTCAAGAGACTTCATCCTTTTCTCCCTCTCTCTTTCCCCTGTTTTTCTCTGTGTATCTCTTTTTTTTTTTTTTTTTTTTTTGAGACAGAGTCTCGCTCTGTTGCTCGAGGCTGGAGTGCAGGGGCACGATCTCGGCTCACTGCAAGCTCCGCCTCCCGGGTTCCAGCGACCTCCTGCCTCAGCCTCTCCCAAGTAAACCACGTGCCACGCCCGGCTAATTTTGCATTTTTAATAGAGACAGGGTTTCACCTGTTGGTCAGGCTGGTCTTGAACTCCCAACAGTGATCCAGCCGCCTGGGACTCCCAAAGTGCTGGGATTACAGGCGTGAGCCACTCCGCCCGGCCTCTTTATATATACATTTTTTGGAGACGAGGTCTCATTTTGCTGCCCAGGCTGGTGTGCAGTGGTGCAGTCACAGCTCACTGCAGCCTTGACTTCTAGCTCAAGCTATCCTCCCACCTTAGCCTCCCGAGCAGCTGCTAGTACAGGCTTGCCCAGCCAATTTTTTTAAAAAGATTTTTTTGTGAGGCCGGGCGCCGGCTCACCTGTCATCCCAGCACTTTGGGAGGCCGAAGCCAGCAGGCTACGAGGTCAGGAGTTCGAGACCAGCCTGAGCAACAGGTGAAACCCCATCTCTACTGTACAAAAATTCGCCGGGCATGGTGGCGGGCGCTATACTCCCAGCTACTCCAGGAGGCTGAGGCAGGAGAATCGCCTTGGCAACTCGAAGGTGGAGGTTGCAGTGAGCCGAGATCGCGCCACTCCAGCCTGGGCGACAGAGTGAGAGTCTCAAAAAATAAATCAAAAGTTTTCTGTGAGATGAGTCTCTGTTACCCAGGCTGAAGGGCAATGGTGTCATCATAGTTCACTGCGGTCTTGACCTCCTGTGCTCAAGCAATCCTCCTCCTCAGCCTCCCAGTACCTGGGAGTACAGGCATATATAACCCATGCCTCTCTGCTAGTTTTTTAAAAATTTTTTGTAGAGATGGATCTTGCTATGTTGCCCAGCTACCCTAAACTCCTGGGCTCAAGCCATCCTCCTGCCTTGGCCTCCTAAATGCTGGGGTTAAAAGACGCTGAGCCACTGCACTGGCCTCTCTCTCTCTTTCTCTCCGTCTTCCTCTCTGTCTCCTCCTCTGTGACTTTTATGTATCTCATCTATCATGTTTCTCCTCTCTCCTCCTTTCTCCCTTCCTTCCTTCCTCTGTCTTCTCTCTGTCTCCTCCTCCCTCCCTCACCCTGCCTCTGTCTCTTTTATACTTCTATCATCATCCTTTTAAAAAAAAATCCTTTTAAAAAATAAAATAAAATAGAGACCAGATCTCACTTCATGTTGCCTTGAGCTGGTTTGAAATTCCTGGGCCCAAACCATCCTCCCACCTCAGCCTCCCAAAGTGCTTGGATTACAGGTGTGAGCCACTGCACCTGACGCCTAACAGTGATCCGCTGTTACCTGTCATCTATCATTTATTATTATCTATCCATCCATCCATCTACCTACTGATCATCTACTATCTATTCATCTATCCATCCATCTCATCCATGCATCCATCTATCCATCCATTCATCTATCCATCCATCTCATCCATGCATCCATCTATCCATTCATCTACCTACTCATCATCTACCATCTGTTCATCTATCCATCCATCTCATCCATGCATCCATCTATCCATCCATTCATTCATCCATCCATCTCATCCATGCATCCATCTATCCATCCATCTATCCATCCATCTCATCCAAAGTATCCATCTATCCATCCATCTCATCCATGCATCCAGGTCTATCCATCCATTCATCTATCCATCCATCTCATCCATGCATCCATCTATCCATCCATTCATCTACCTGCCCATCATCTACCATCTGTCTATCCATCCATCCATCTCATCCATGCATCCAACTAGCCATCCATTCATCTACCTACCCATTATCTACCATCTATTCATCTATCCATCCATCTCATCCATGCATCCATCCATCCATCCATCTGCCCATCTACCATCTGTTCATCTATCCATCCATCTCATCCATGCATCCAACTATCCATCCATTCATCTATCTGCCCATCATCTACCATCTGTTCACCCATCCATCCATCTCATCCATGCATCCATCCATCCATCTGCCCATCATCTACCATCTGTTCACCCATCCATCCATCCATCTCATCTATGCATCCATCCATCCATTCATCTATCTGCCCATCATCTACCATCTGTTCACCCATCCATCCATCTCATCCATCCATCCATTCATCTATCTGCCCATCATCTACATCCGTTCACCCATCCATCCATCTCATCCATGCATCCATTCATCTATCTGCCCATCATCTACCATCTGTTCACCCATCCATCCATCTCATCTATGCATCCATCCATCCATTCATCTATCTGCCCATCATCTACCATCTGTTCACCCATCCATCCATCTCATCCATGCATCCATCCATCCATTCATCTATCTGCCCATCATCTACCATCTATTCACCTATCCATCCATCTCATCTATGCATCCATCCATCCATCCATCTGCCCATCATCTACCATCTATTCACCCATCCATCCATCTCATCCATGCATTCATCTGTCCATCCACCTACCTACCTACCCATCATCTACTATCTATTCACCCATCCATCTCATCCATGCAACCATCTATCCATCCATTCATCTACCTACCCATCATCTACCATCTATTCACCCATCCATCCATCCATCCTATACATGCATCCATCTATCCATCAATTCATCTACCTACTCATCCATCATCTACCATCTATTCACCCATCCATTCTTCATTCACGCTCCACCTATCCATCCACCTGCCATCTACCATCTCTTTACCCCATCCATCCATCTCATCCATGCATTCATCTATCCATCCATCCGTCTACCCATCCATCCATCTCATGCATGCATCAATCTATCAATTCATCTACTTATCCATCATCTACCATCTATTTACCCATCCATCCATCTCATCCATGCATCCATCTATCCATCCATCCACCTACCTACCCATCATCTACCATCTATTCACCCATCCCTCCATCTCATACATGCATCCATCCATCCATCCATCTACTCACCCATCATCTACCATCTATTCACCCATCCATCCACTCCATCCATCTATCCATTCATCTACCATTTGTTCACCCATCCACCCATCTACCCCACTCACCCATCATCTACCATCTATCTCACCCATCCATCTATCCATCCATTCATCTATACCTTACCTACCCATCATCTACCATGTATTCACACATCCATATATCTCATCCATGCATCTATCCATCCATCAGCCTAGCCATCATTTATTCATCCATCTATCCTTCTCATCCATGTATCCAACCATCCATCCATCCATCCATCTAATTCTACCTACCCATCATCTACCATCTGTTCATCCATCCATCCAGGAGAACTGAACGGTTTAGGTGATGTGATCCATCTATCCACCTAATCTTCGATCTAATCTCCTTCTCCCTGTCTGTCTCATTTCTGCATCACTCACTCCTCCTCCCCTGTGTAAGTGGCTCTCGGCAGCTCTGCTCACAGCTCTGAGCTCCTACTGCCCGGGCCTGTGTCCCCTGAAGGATCCCCACCTGGCTGGCCAGGACTCCAGCTCTCTGCCTCCCCTCCAGGGCCGGCCTGCTGCTGGTGGAGACGCCCTGGATGAGGAGAAGAGGGAGGGCGAGGTGGCCTGATACAGCCGCCTGGGAATATGCTGGTGCAGACTGAGGGCAGGGAGCGGAGCAGAGGCGAGTACTAGTGTTTGCTGAGCTGCACGGCTTCTACCCAGGTGCAGGTGGTGCACTTGGAGGGTGTCCTGGATGCCATGTTGGCTACTCAGAGTGGCCCCCCTGAAGCCCAGGCAGCGGTTCATTATAGGGACGCCTCCCCCAGGCTGCAGGTGGACCACCCAGTCCCCAAGTACAGGACAGCCACATAGAAGTGTGCAGTCGTGGCTGAATAAAGAAAAGCAAAAGTCTGTCCATGGCTCCTCTGTGAGAGTTCTTGATGAGGGAAAAGGCTGCATTTGGGGAGAAGGGGACAGAGGGTGCATTTGGGGAGGAGAAGAAAGAGGCTGCATTTGGGGAGAAGGGGACAGAGGGTGCATTTGGGGAGAAGGGGACAGAGGTGCATTTGGGGAGGAGGGGATAGAGGCTGCATTTGGAGAGAAGGGCTGGAGGCTGGCATTTGGGGAGGAGGGGATGGAGGCTGCATTCGGGGAGGGGGAAGGAGGCTGCATTCGGGGAAGAGGGGATGGAGGCTGCATTTGGGGAGGAGAGAGATGAAGGCTGCATTTGGGGAGGAGGGGATGGAGGCTGCATTTGGGGAGGAGGGGATGAGGCTGCATTTGGGGAGGAGGGGGATGGAGGCTGCATTCGGGGAGGAGAGATAAGGCTGCATTCGGGAGGAGGGATGGAGGCTGCATTTGGGGAGGAGGGGATGGAGGCTGCATTTGGGGAGGAGGGGAAGGAGGCTGCATTTGGGGAGGAGGGGATGGAGGCTGCATTCGGGAGGAGGGGATGGAGGCTGTATCGGGAGGGGGAAGGAGGCTGCATTCGGGGAGGAGGGGATGAGGCTGCATTCGGGAGGAGGGGAAGGAGGCTGGCCCGGGGAGGAGGGGATGGAGGCTGCATTCGGGGAGAAGGGGATGGAGGCTGCATCGGGAGGAGGGGAAGGAGGCTGCATTTGGGGAGGAGGGCACGGAGGGACAGCAGGGAGGACTGTTCTGTAGCTCCGGCGGGACGCCCTGGGAGCTGCAGCAGCCTTCCAGAGTGAGCTTGGTGACTCCCGGGAGGTGGTAGGGACAGGGCTTTCTCACGGCTGGCGAGGTGCCGGGCCCACCAGGCAGGCCTCTTGGTCCTTCTCCGCACTCCCAGCTGCATCTTCCCACCTTCCCCACGATTTCCAGTGTGTCTCCTCTGTGGGAACACTGTCACAGCCGCCACCCCGGACGCCTGCAGGCCACGGAGCGGCAGTTCTCCGGCAGCTTCCCGTCTCCTGTCTTGGTGCAGACTGTCCCGAGCGGACCTCCCCAGCCCTCCCGCAGGGCTGAAATGCGCCTGTAAACCTCCCTGAGTCCAGGCAGGGCAGACCCACACCTGCCCTGGGAGGCCCTCCCTGGGCACAGCTACCATGCTGTAGGAGCCCGCGAATCCACATTTTCCCTGCTCCACTCCCCAGTTCCTGCCGGGCTGTGTCTCACCCTCAGACTCCTACGTGCCTCGGTGCCTACGCAACCCCTTCTCCTGGCCCTCCGAGCTGGGCCAACCTGGGCTGGGCTGGGGCGGAGCTCTCAAACTACAGCCCTTGGACTCTCCAGGAGCACCTGTTCAGGCAGGATCTGGAAAAGCGGAGAACAGGAGCAGGCCTAGGATAAGCTTTGACGCACACGACCAGCTTTCCTGCTCCCGGCTGGGTGTCCATCTGTGTTATATTTCAGCTGTTTTCTTTTTTTTTTTTTGAGACGGAGTCTGGTTTCAGCGCCCAGGCTGGAGTGCAGTGACGTGATCTCGGTCACTGCAACCTCCGGGCCCCGGGTTCCCACATTCTGCCTCAGCCTCTCGAGTAGCTGGGACTACAGGCAGCCATCGCCCGCCAGTTTTGTATTTTAGTAGAGACGGGTTTCACCGGTTAGCCAGATGGTTTGATCTTCTGACCCTGATTCGTCATGTCTGCTCTCAGTGCTGGGATGACAGGCTTGGAGCCACTGCACTTCAGCCTGTTTTCCTTTTATGTGACGGAGTTTGAGTTTCTGCCTTTGCTGCCCAGACTGGAGGCTGAGGCATCTGCTCACTCACACTCACCTCCAGCGGCTTATCAAACACTGACAGGTGGGTGTAAGTCACAGGCTACACACTGGCTGCTGCCTGGCATCAAGGGAAGAATGTGTAGGTTGGTTGTGCTTAAGAAAACAGCTGAAATAGGCTGGGGTATGATGGCTCACACTCTGTCATCCCAGCACTGGGAGGCCGAGGCGGATAGATCACCTTGAGGTCAGGAATTTGAGGTTGAGCTCAACATGGTGAAACCCTGGTTTCTACAGAAAATAACAAAATCAGCCGGGCGTGGTGGCGGGTGCCTGTAATCCCAGCTCCTGGCGGAGGCTGAGGCAGAGAATCGCTAACCTGGGAAGGAGATTGGGAAGAGCCCAGATTGTGCCATTGTACTCCAGCCTGGGCACCCAGAGCAAAACTCCGTCTCCCAAAAAAAGAGAAAAGAAAAGAGAAAGGAGGAGGCTGCGCGGTGGCTCAGCGCCAATCCTAGCACTTTGGGAGGCCGAGGCGGTGGATCACAAGGTCAGGAGATCGAGACCATGGTGAAACCCCGTCTCTACTAAAAAAATAGAAAAAAATTAGCTGGGGCGAGGTGGCTGGGCACCTGTAGTCCCAGCTACCGGGAGCTGAGCAGAGAATGGCGTGAACCCGGAGGCGTGAGCTGCAGTGAGCCGAGATTGCGCCACTGCACTCCAGCCTGGGCAACGAGAGCAAAACTCCATCTCAAAAAAAAAAAAAGAAAAGAAAAGAAAAGAGAAAAAGAAAACAGCTGAAATAGGCTGGGTGCAGTGGCTACGTTGTAATCCCAGCACTTTGGGAGGCCGAGGCGGATGGATACCTGAGGTCAGAAATTTGAGGAGCAACCTGCAATACGGTGAAACCTCTCTACAGAAAATACAAAAATCAGCCGGGCGTGGTGGTGGAAGCCTGTAGTCCCAGCTACTGGGAGGCTGAGGCAGGAGAATCGGGCTTGAACCCCGGGAGGCAGAGGTTGCAGAGTGAGCCGAGACTGCTACTGCCTCTCCAGCCTGGGTAACAGAGCAAGACTCCGTCTTAAAAAAAAAAAAAAAGAAAAAAAAAAAACAAAAACTGACGCTTCATATATTTTATGTAATATAAATTAGGTGTTCTATAAATTCTGTAAATGATGTGTTCTATCCGTGTACAGGCACGGTGTAGAGGTGTTCAGGTGTGTGTATGTACATACACACCCATCTGAGCACACACACACAGATACGGCCACACGTAATACTGGAATGACAATTTGACCTTGCTTTGAGAAATGCGCCTCATAGGCGATTCTCTTTGTGTGCACACCTGGGCTGTGTGGCAGACCCCGGCTCCCAGCCTCTACTCACCTGGGCTGTGTGGCAGGACCCCGGGCTCCTGGCTACAACCTGACGGCAGGTGAGTGTGCTTAGTGCCGTAGGCTGCTATCACACAATGGTAGGTGTTTGCATGCTCACAACAAAGACACAGGAAAATTACAGTTTTACCATCTCCTGGGACTTCTGCCAGTCTAGGAAGGCCGTTGTTGACTGAGGAACGCTACCGGGTACACGTGGATCGTGTATGATTCCTGACTCCGTTTTTTTTTTTTCTTTGAGACAGAATCCGCCCTGTCGCCCAGGCTGGAGTGCAATGGCGATCTCGGCTCACTGCAACCTCTGCCTCCCGGGATTCTCCTGTCCCAGCCTCCCCCAGCTGGGATGACAGACACCCGCCACCACGTCACCTAATGTTTGTATTTTTAGTACAGACTTGTTTCTCACTTCATGTTGGCCAGGCTGGTCTGGAACTCCTGACCTCAGGTGATCCGCCTGCCTGCCTCCCAACGTGCTGGCATTGCAGGCGTGAGCCACCGCGCCTGGCCTAACTGCACTTTTTTTTTTTTTTTTGATTGTCACACGTGGTGTCTCCATGGCAGGCCTAGATGGACCAGGAAGAAAATTCTGACTCTTGATGAAAGGGGAGTCCAGGAGCAGGCAGTATGCCTGTGGCCTCTACTGCTTAGGCCCTCCATCACACTGGCCTCGGCGTGGGACAGACGGGACGGCCGCCAGAGATGCCAGAGCCTAACCCTGGAGAGCGGCCAGCCCTCCGTCCCTCCTACTCCCTCCTTCCTCTTCCTGCCAGCCTGGCCCCAGAGCCAGTCCTCCTTCCTCCTTCCCAAGTCAGCCTGGCCCAGAGCCGTCCCTCCTTCCTCCTCCCCATGTCAGCCTGGCCCAGAGCTGTCCCTCCTTCCTCCCTTCCCAAGTCAGCCTGGCCTGAGCTGTCCCCTCCTTCCTCCCCTTCCTAAGTCAGCCTGGCCCAGAGCTGTCCCTCCTTCCTCCTTCCATGTCAGCCTGGCCCAGAGCTGTCCCTTCTCCTTCCTCCCCTTTCCCTTGAGCCAGCCTGGCCTCCAGAGCTGTCCCTCCTTCCTCCTTCCCAAGTCAGCCTGGCCCAGAGCTGTCCCTCCTTCCTACAAGCCGCCTGGCCCAGAGCTGTCCCTCCTTCCTCCTTCCTCATGTCAGCCTGGCTCAGAGCTGTCCCTCCTTCTCATTCCATGTCAGCCTGGCCCAGAGCCAAGTCCTCTTCCTCCCTCCCCCATGTCAGCCTGGCCCAGAGCTGTCCCTCCTTCCTCCCTCCTGTCAGCCTGGCCTAGAGCTGTCCTCCTTCCTCCTTCCCATGTCAGCCTGGCCCAGAGCTGTCCTTTCTCCTTCCCTCCTTCCTAAGTCAGCCTGGCCCAGAGCTGTCCCTCCTTCCTCCTTCCCAAGTCAGCCTGGGCCCAGAGCTGTCCCTCCTTCCTCCCCTTTTCCTAAGTCAGCCTGGCCCAGAGCTGTGCCTCCTTCCCTCCTTCCTCAAGTCAGCCTGGCCTAGAGCTGTCTCCTCCTTCCCCTCCTTCCCAAGGCAGCCTGGCCCAGAGCTGTCCCTTCCTTCCTCCTTCCCAAGTCAGCCTGGCCTCCAGAGCTGTCCCCTCCTTCCTTCCTTCCTAAGGTCAGCCTGGCCCAGAGCTGTCCTCCTTCCTGGGGTCAGCCTGGCCTCCAGAGCTGTCCCTCCTTCCTCCTTTCCCAAGTCAGCCTGGCCTAGAGCCAGTCCTCCTTCCTCCTCCCTTCCTGCCGAGCCTGGCCCAGAGCTGTCCCTCCTTCCTCC